TGTTGATATATTTCCATGAAAACTGTTCGAGTATATGACTGTGAAAAGCGATATGTTTTTCTTGTTCGTTTTCTACCTTGGTGTAGCATGCAGGATTCAGCATATTCCTATTCATATTCTTAGGTTTTTTCGGTAAAGTCACGTATATTCCGTTTACACACGGCTGCCCAGTCACGAAGCCCCCAGTGGCAATTAAAATTAATGATTGTGGTCTTTGCAGATTACACACTAATAGAGAGTGGCATAATTGAAATTTGCTCTACATCACAAGCACACTCTGACTGCATCAATCAATAAACACACCTGAATTGCACCCAGAAATTTCCGCTGAGCGCTAAGTTTCTGTTCAAAAGATTAACAACACCTTAAGCTACGTGGCTGCTGAAGAAGGCATTATGCAAGTGGACCCTGTGATGCAGGAATGATGTATTAAACCATTTTACAAGGGAGAATGCATTGGCTACATGCAAGTACCATTTCATCCTCGACATTGTTCCGTGAGATTTTCTTTTTTAATGTGTTTGTGCTTTTTAACTGCAATACTCCATCGTATTGTTGATTCTTGTGTTTTTATTTGAGGGACATGTATTGTGCTAGGGTAGTTAAACTTGGCTCTGGCAGCCTCGGGCATGTTTTACGAGTCTAGAAATCATTAGCGAGGTTGGTTTCAGGGTTATGACAGGTCGGTGATGTGCAAAGAATCGCTGCTTTATGGCTGTGGGTTTGCTTATGCAACGAGAGCGAGTCGCACTGTGCATTAGGTACGGGATTCAGGTCTGTCATTCAGACTCTGTCTTCTCGACAGACCTGTTCTCCACCTGAGGACGGCTGCTTGCGTTGTGGCCGAAACGTCGTGAGAATTATTTTATTATGTTTTATTTTTATTATTTTATTATTTCCATTCTACGTGACTTTACCGAAAGAACCAAGAAGATGAATCCCTGCAGTCACGAAAGCTTAAAATCGAAATTTAGGCACGGGATGTTCATTGCTGGTCAGCATCGTCTAAGAGCATCATCAGTTCGCAGTGGTATTGCATTCGTTCGTTTGCAATTGATCGCATTTGAAAACGTTTTCTTTGAAACAAAATACATTTGATCACCCTGCTGGGAAATAAGAAAAGAAAAAAAAATATTCTAACATACTATTAAGAAGTCGTAGATAGTAAGAAAAATAGAATGAAATGTCCTTCTTCAAAATCCCATTCGTCAATATCGACAAAGTGACACGAGTTTTTAAACAGCCGATGCTTGCCACGTCTGCTCATCCCTGTGTGACCACTCACAAGGAGACATCCCCCCCCCTCCGCCCTGCTGAGATAGGAGCGAGAGGACGCGAGGGGTTTGTTTATGGGAGAAGATGCTCAGGGGCGAGCCAGTCACCACAACTTGTACACAATGGCAATAACGATGACACAGAGCCGAATGCCGAACTAAATGCTATTTTCTGCGAAGAGAACAAAAATCTATTTCCTTGAATGTCATAAACTCTTGGATGTATAATACCACACGGATCGTGTCTATTACAAAAGAGTGTATTATTACAGTAACATACTGCATGCAAAATAAAAGAGCGGCCTTCCCTGTTCCGCAGAGACTTGAGGGAAAATATAGCAGGTATCACTTCCTCTGCATCCAGTGAAAATTGTCGACTTTAATAATTGTACCCCATTAGCATAGTCACACTTTCGATAAACAAAATTACAAGCATTAACATTTTTTAACTAAATTCCAACACATGTTGTCTTCTTTCTCCCGACACGGTTGTAACACGACAAATAAATGATTTCACACGCAAAAGTCACACCTATTAACATTCATCAGCAAGAGGATACTCGGAATTGAAGTATGTAATGTTTACCGAAAATTATAAACTCCATATATTTTGAAAGCCACGATGTCCCCATGCTCCAGTGAGCAATGGGTAGCACTCGTCAACAAATAGCAGTCCTGAGCCAGTTGTGGAAATTGTATTTACCAATGGAATGGTCCTGGTTTGTGAATCTTCCATTGCTTGTGTAGGTAATCACCGTTGCGTTTACCTGCTGTTTAATCATTTTACAGACTCCCCGCCCCACCACAGGGATGATGGATTTTAAGTCACACGATTGGACACGCTGCTGCTCAAACCACTGAGCAATGTCCCAAATTCCACTATGACGAGTAGCTTATAATCAGAGCGATATTCACTTGTATATAACAATAATCTATTTTCTTGGTTCTTTCGGTAAAGTCACGTAGAATGTAAATAATAAAATAATAAAAACATGCTTGCGTTGTGGCCGAAACGTCGTGAGAATTATTTTATTATGTTTTATTTTTATTATTTTATTATTTCCATTCTACGTGACTTTACCGAAAGAACCAAGAAGATGAATCCCTGCAGTCACGAAAGCTTTAAATCGAAAAATAATCTATTTACCGAGTTAATTATTTGTCTACTTTCATCCTCTAATCACGGAAACTACTCAAATACTGTAGTACTGAAATGTGCTGAGTAAGAAAAAAAAATGGAAGATGCTTTCAGTGATTAGCAATATTGTTTTTCAAGAGATATTGGCCCAATTCTTTGTTCGGTATACTCGAGGCTTCATTTCTCACTGAATATCTCCCAAGCCGCTGGTAGATGGGATGCATGTGACGAGTAGCCATGGCAAGCGGCACATTGCACATGGCGTTTCGGGGGGTGTGGTAACATCTTCTTGGTTCTTTCGGTAAAGTCACGTAGAAGGGACATAATAAAATAATAAAAATAAAACATAATAAAATAATACAATTTTCACGACGTTTCGGCCACAACGCAAGCAGCCGTCCTCAGGTGCAGAACAGGTCTGTCGGAAAGACAGCGTCTGAATGAACACCACCAAGCTTGGCAGAGTATATTTAAGCTGGGTTAGTGGGGTGTGGTAACATATTCCAGATCGCCGATCCGAGACAGATTCGTGGAGTGTATCTGAACGTAAACGACGACAAGACCGGAGTTCCTGGAGAAAACCTACATATATGATGAAATGACGCTCACAAATTCACACATACAGGTCAAAGATCGTATAGCCATCTCCGAGCTACCTCGTAGCCCTGCATATTGTTCAGGCTAATGTTCATGTACAGCCAGGCGCGGTTCGTCCACTAGGGGCGTTGGGGCACCAAATTATCTTTCAAATTAAAAAATACTTTTCTATAAATTGTTTTGTTGTGTTAATATATTTTTTAATATAATGATTCTTACAACGTGAATTTCCTAATGAAGATAGCATTTAAGTTGTTCATATTAGAAACCGCTGCAACACCACAGTGTGATTTGTGCCTCTGGGAGGTCCCGGGGCAGCTGTGAAGGCGTCCGAATTGAGAGATGTCCCTTCTTCATTCGGTGCGATCAGCTTCTCGCATTGTAGCGATGCCGTTCGAGGCCCATTCAGGGCGGTGAAGAAGGAGCCCGCGGCTGTAATGAGACGATGTGACGAGGCGAGATTGCGCTGTGCAAATATAGCAGCTCCCGGTCTACACGCTGCAGGAGGAAACAACAGCAATGACGATGGCAGCAGGTGCAGCGCACGAAGAATTAGCAACGAACACTGTGAAGTCATATTCTTTGGTTCTTTCGGTAAAGTCACGTAGATAGAAATTTTTGTTATTAATTTTGTATTTTTTTTCGTTTTATTTTTTATTTTATTTTCTATCAACGTGACTTTACCGAATGAACCAAAGAATAGGCATACTGTGGAGTCACTCCTAAATATTCAATTTGAAAGGATGACTTTGCAGGAGCAGTTGAATGTCAAGCAACTCGGTCCTTTTTGTGTAGGTGGGTGTACCACGGTGTGTGGCTGATGTTGTTCAGTACGCGGTGTCTTGGTTGCCTTGGCTAATTTGTTGAGTTGTGTCAGCTCATCTTTAATTGTTCTTTAGGCTTTTGGCATTGTCAAAGGGGTCCTGTAGTGTGGACTTGATGGTCATGGGGACAGCATTTAAGTGCTTTGCTGATTTGTTTCATATTCCATTGGAACCTCATTTGCCAGCAAAAAATATGATAATTGTTTTTTTACCCTTTTTATCTGGCAACAAAACTGACACCTTTTTTTGTCTTTGAGTTGTGCGCCTTTTGCCGTCATCTGGTCCAACCCATGTGAGACTAGGCTCTAAGGAAAGCTGTCTCGGGTGTGGACCAATCAACTTCAAGGACAGTGCATACATTATCAGAGTTATGTTTTTTGTTTGCATTATGACTGCAGGTATTGTAGTCTATGCAAACACGACTCCTTGTAAAAAAAGGTGTCAGTTTTGTTGTTTCACATTGTTGAAAAATGTCTGCCGTTGGTGGATTAGACGGTTATATCACATTCACGGGAAGGCTAATAACATGACGAGGTTTTTCTTAATTAGAACACCATATGTTCAGAGGTCTCTCACAATAGCCCCACGTAGTGGAAATGTGGCGAGCCGCCACTGTGTAGAGACCTTTTTTGTCAATCTACCCTGCCCAGGGTGTGTTGGTGAAGTCGGAGAGCATAGATGGCAGGGCTGCCAACCAGGCAGCCCCTAAAGCCCCTGCAGCCTTGTGCCAACCCTTGTGCAGTGATAACCCTTCCAAGCACTGTCCAGGCTCAGACCTGCTTAGCTTCTTAGGTATGGCACGTTCATATAATAATTTAATATTTATAATGCACTTATCCAGGAAAGTTACACTAAGTCAAAGGACTCGTTTTCATGAGGGTTCTCTATTAGGTTGTCTTTCTTTTAAGATGTTTTCAGTCAAGGGGTCAAAACTCTATATTTACAGATAGATACGGATGGCGATTAGTCCACTTGCTGTACTGGCTTCTCTTGGCGAGTGACGGTATGGCACCTCGGTCGCTACAGGAACGGAGTTTCACAACATTTGTGCGATTCACCAACCCTCGCGTCCAGTGCTGGATTACAGGCGTGCACCACCACCGCCTGGCTATTAATTTGGTCATGGGCGAGTCTCACATCTGTGCTGATGCACCCTCTACCCTGCAGGCCTATTGTGGACCACGCCTGTGCCCGTGCTTTGCCCGTGCTAAGCCCTGCGGCATGATGACGACGTAAAAGGAGAGCCACAGCGAGGTCACAAGCGGGACCGCCCCGTCCCCCGTTCTGCCACCATGACCTCCCCGGCCCCCATCGATGCTGCCGCCGCCCCCACAGCCCCGACACCGACTCCTGCGGCGAGGCCCTATGGCCTGGACTGGGTGCCGGAGGGCGGCGTGTGGAGCAACTGCAAGGACGAGATCGAGCGCTCGTACACTGTGGTGCCCACCGCCATCTGCGGCACGTGCTGCGTCTTCGGCATCGTCTACTGCTTCTTCGGTGAGATGTGGCTGAGGCCGGGGTCGCCCATCCGCAGTCAGTCATGCTTTAGTCTTTGGTGGGGTAGCAATGGTCAAGCACAAAGCCGTTATTACACCGGCGTAAGACTTGGGTTACAGTTTACTGCTCGGGGCAAAATGTAAAAAATGGAACAAAGTTAACACTCACTCCTTGCATGGAAAGCAGGAGACATGTTCTCTTTGAAATGTTGTAAGCTATCCATGAAATGTGCTCATTTCGAATAATGCCCATGGATATAGCCTGCACAAACAACGCTGTAGAGTGGGTTGAGTTTAGAATAAGTAACATTTGAGAACCACACACATCCCCATCTAAGCCCTCTCGCCGCCCACAAAGCATCGATTTGTGTTTTTATCAGTATTGCTGAATACAGGCCGAAAGGCCTAAAATACCAAGTGGCCAGCAACAAACAGCATTATTAAAGGTGAAATATTTAAGCAAGGTTATTCAATTGAGCAAAGTTATAAAATCTTTGCAAAACATGGAGGGAAAGCGAGAAATGGAACCTGCAGTATGGCGGTTGAACACGGTGTAGACAAAATTGTCTGGTAGTCCGCGTCTTCAAAACGGGTGGAGGAGTCAATTTGGTTAAGTTCATGGGAATCGTAACCATGGTAGTGATGAGGAGGCGACTGGTCGCCTGTGGGCGAGTGACCAAAGTGAATCGGTGATTTCTGCATCATCAAACTGACTGCTTTATGGGTAAAGACAAGTAACAAAATGGTTACATATAATTGTAATGTGTTGGTATTAAAGCACAAATTGTGATGGGTCACACAACTTCCATACCGTCCCAAGTATTCACCTTTAGCTTCATATGCACATTTGAGAATGCTTATTGTGTTCATTGCCACTTCAAGAACCCAAGATCTTGCTAAACTATCCTCCTCCAATGTATAGCTCTTAAAGTATTTGCCATCATGTTAACATAGGTACACACAGGGCCAGATTAAGGTTATGAAGGGCCTAAGGCTAATAGGAGGGAAGGGCACAAGTATGTATGTTGTATTACAAATTGAAAAAAAAACAATATCCAACATTAATTTACCGATGTAAAATTGACATGTATTCTACCAAGGTAAATTCATCAAACATAAATCACTCGCTACACTAATTTCTTGAAACAAACAACACATTTTTTTTCCTAGCATTAGCTATGAAAAAGTCATGGATGATGTCATGGTAACTCAAAAGCAAAATATCCGATGGGTGTGCGATCGTCGCTCAGCTGTTACTTCAATATGGAATGGAGGGCCTTAAGGAGGGTCTACACAATATGAGACTATGGGTAAATCGGGCTCTAAGTACACACATAGGTAAATCAAAGACAGACTTAGGCACCTAAGAGGTAACAGGACATTTTGGACACCAACTATTCATGTCAAGGCAGCATACATACACTGGCTACTGCTGTGACTGTGTATTAATCACTCTTCAGCAGCTTGTAACTGTACCAAGAATGGTCGAGCAAAAGACGTCTTTCCCCGCGCCTGCTATCTCTCTCATGCAGGTTACCGCTGCATCAAGGCAGTGATGTTCCTGACAGGCCTCATGTTCGGCTCCGTCGTCATCTTCCTGTTGTGCCACAAGGAGCGTGTGCTGGACACAGAACTGACGCTCGAGGCCAGTGCGGGCATCGGCCTGGCCATCGGCCTGCTCTGCGGCCTCGTGACTATGCTAGTTCGCACAGTCGGCCTCTTCACCACGGGTCTCCTGCTGGGCCTGCTGCTGGCCGCCACGACCCTTGTGGCCATCGAGCCCTACTACCGGCCGCCCACCGCCTGGGTGCCGCTGGGCGCGCTTGTGGGCTCGGGGATGCTCTTCGCAGTGCTCACGCTGCAGTGGCCCAAGCCCTTCGTGGTCCTCTCCACGTCGGCGTTCGGAGCGGCCGTTGTGACCGCCGCTGTCGACTACTTTGTGGAGATGTTCGCACTTGTGCGCTATGCCTCCGACAGGCTGCGCTCGCCCAACAGCGCTAGCGCGACATTCTGCTGGTACAGCTGGGCCGTGCTGTCCGTGTGGCCCACGCTCGGCCTGCTGGGCATCCTCGTGCAGTGGAAGGTGACGGCCGAGAGGCCCAACCATGCCGAAGGTATGACGGTGATGACAACAGTGGCGAATGGATTGAAAGCATTGGCCGCAATTCAAAGATAACCTTACATCCTGAAATAATAATCGTAACTTGCATGCTCCCATATTATCACTGCTGAATGGCATGCAAGGGTGCAATAAAAATCTCATCATGGTCACTGCCATTACTGCCACCACGTCTTGTCATCTCTTTCTCCCTCAAGATTTCATAATGGTTTCAGTTGACATCCAACATCCAAAATTCACCTGACTGTATACCACCATACGTTTTTCCTGGTCATCATCCTCCGGCTGCACGAGTAAATTTGTTAACCACGGCTCCAAAATCCACGGTGACATCTTATCTTGCCATGTGCTTGGACGGTGGTGCAGTGATAATCAGGCACCGGCAAAAGCGCGTGCAGATGATGCGGATCCGACAGCAGAAGCAGCAACAGCACGCGGGCAAGCGGCAGCGCGTCCCCCCTGAGGGCATTTACCGCCGCAAGCCGTGCCCCGTGCGCCGCTTCACAGGAGATGTGCTGCCTCCGGTATGACCTGCAGCAGCACTTCACAGTGACCACTGTGCACTCCACCACACCCTTGCACGTTGCAGAAAATGCAGGGCTACCGAGTTGTGGGGTACTCCTGTAGTAGTCCTTCCATTGTTGCGAAAACTTGGTGAGGCTGAATAACGGGAACACAAGTTTAAGCAATGGGTGAGTGAGCGGTGGTGCCTCTGAGGGCCACCCATGTGGTCATTGGCTTCGTTCTGTGGCCTGGATGCTGGGCACGTAACGATGAATTGATCAATCTTTTCAGGTAAAAATATATTCAAATGTTTACGGTGCATGCATTCAATTGAAAGAATCAATGATTTATGATTTACGAAAATGACATGCAAATGACATGCTGTTACATTTGGGCTAATGGAGCCAACAAACTTGTACAAATGAGATAGGGAAAATGAAACAGTATTCACAAGACAAGTAAATTGCTTTTCAAGTAAAAAAAAATTATGACGATTTATCAAATCTCGACATGCCTACTAGATGCCAAAAACACCTGCTTACATTCACAAACATTGAACCAATCGCACAAAGCAAACGTGGCAAATATAATAAGTGATTAAAGAGGATGTATTAACTGCAGAATGTAATGTTTCGTATTTTCTTCAGAGAATAGGGTGACGCTGAATGCATGGGTTGTAAAGGATTATATGTAAAACCTGTACATTGTATAAAGAGGCTTGCATCTGCGAACGTACACATGGTGGTGTTACTGGACAATTCACTGGTTGGGATTAAATAGGGATTATTTTTAAAATAATATTTTCATATATATCGCCACAAGGCAGGCAGAGGCCTAGGGTTTGTATTTCGTGCCCAAAAACATTAAAAACAACCATTATGGTGGCCAGGTAACTCTGGGGACTGATCCAGAAACTGGCACAGTTGAGATTCTGGCTTAAATTTTGGGTTACAAAGGTTATTGAGTGTCATGAGTTGGTGGTTTGAGCCAGTCACCAATGACTGCAGACATGATTTCTGTTGTAGATAAACTCCTTAAAAACATTTTTTTTAAACAACGGGTTTATTTTAAAGTGCACTCAAAAGTAAAAAAATAACGTTTTTTTAGCCGTCACCAGCTGATCAGAATATTATTTTACATTTTTAACTAAAAAATAAAACCGTGGGACACTCCTTGAATATTGTTTATGCATAATGAGTTGCTTTAGAATTTTAGAGTTTTATCAAAGTGTATTTACATGATAAAATGTATGTAGTAGAAGGTAAAATGTTGATAATGATGTCATTTAACTTTACGATGAGGTGTAGAACATTTACAAGTGTTTTGAGTATAATTATTAATTCCCTATTAGTAGCTCTTTCTACTCATATCCATGTTGAACTGCTTTTTTAAGAACAGTTGACTGCAAAGTGATCCAAAGTGTACCTAAACCCATTTGTTTTCTCAACTTCCTATGACAACTTCTATTATTGGTCAGAGTAGATTAGTCGAAGGGAAGATAAGTACTCAGTCTAAGACTAAGTCTACTTCTTTTGTGGGCCTTACCTTTTATAGTGCGATCTGAGAGCACTGTTCTTAACTGGATACATTGCCTTGATGTTGTTTGCAATGTACTCAACCATATTTGTGTGTATAAGATGTTGAGACACAAATTAAGGTAGAATGTAAATAATAAAATAAAACATAATAAAATCATTCTCACGACGTTTCGGCCATTCAGACGCTGTCTCCCCGACAGACCTGGTCTTCACCTGAGGACGGCTGCTTACGTTGTGGCCGAAACGTCGTGAGAATTATTTTATTATGTTTTATTTTATTATTTTATTATTTCCATTCTACGTGACTTTACCGAAAGAACCAAGAAGATGAATCCCTGCAGTCACGAAAGCTTTAAATCGAAATTTAAGTTTCTTAAACTTGGTTGATGATTTTTTACGTCATCAAGTTTTGGTAACGCTTCATTACAGCATGGCGTCTTTCCGGATAGTTTTAGGTTGTCCAAATCTTCAACTGGAAGTCCATCCAGCGAGCGAGCACAACTTACGGCAACATATGCGTGACCTGCTTCGAAGAGCTTTGATCCCAAGTACACGACTGCATGATCCACTGTACATCCTTGCATTTTGTGCAGTGTCGATGGCCATGATAGAATTAGTGGCAGCATTCTTCGTTCAGCTGTACCATAGCCACGATTAGCAGGGAACTGAACTGATTTCGGCTTAATTTGGTGTCGTCCTTGCCAAAGTTCATTGGAACTATTTCAGTTATTTGTCTTTCGTGCAATTGCACAACTAGGAATAGGGCAAGTGATTTTTCTGATATATCGAACAGCACCATTTACAAGTCCTTTCGAGACATCAATGTTGGATCTTAAAATGACTTTGGCTCCTATAAATATTAGCAATTCATGTGATGTCCTTAGGAATGATTGTGCTTATTTTGATATTTTTAACATTTCTTGCAGCATCCACTAATTGATATTGTGCTGTTGTTGTGTACATAGGGGTCTTAAGAGCTCTGAAGTATTGAAGCACTGCTTCATTATGAGCATTAACTTGATTCATCGTTGGATTGATTCGCAGAGCTTTATCTATGGCAAACTCTCCAATTGGTTGTTGAAGACGTCTGCTTTCCAATACTGCGAAATGCTCAGCTCTCGTTTCTCCAACTCGCAGTGCATTCAATACAGTGATGAACGTATTATCAACTTGCTGTCCCATATTGGCTTTAAGCTCGCACAGTGTGAAAAATCTCCATAGATTAGTGGCTGGTTGTAGATGTTCTGGCTGACCATATATAGGAGTGACAGTTGTGTTTTTTGGTCTAACTGGAGGAAGCTGCATCAAAGCGCCAAACAACAGGACATTGAGACCACCGAAAAATTGATCATACTTATTCTTCAGCTGTCGAAGACGCATATAAATCATGCATAGTATCTGATATGAGACCATTAAAATATCATCGATGATGATGCATTCAATGTCCTTCCATTGTAGTCGCGTGGTTCGTAAGTAATGTCGGGTTAATGGTGACATGGTAGCACTTCGACCATCTCTTTGAACAGGCAATTTGAATGTGGAATGAATAGTTGATCCACCGATAAGGCGCGCAGTGACTTCAATTAACGCACAGACTATGACAGCTTTCTTTGCAAAGCAACGATTGATTTGATATTTCAACAATTTCAGTAGGAATGTTTTGGCCACTCCAGCTCGACCAGTGATGAAGACTCGAAATGTTTGACTTCCAGATATCCGTTAGCTGTCATTGTATATCCTAGCTTCGCAAGTTTGGCCAATCGAATGGTTTCATACATTTCATCACCCACAATCAAGTTCACGTTCAATGTGTTTGCGGTCCATATGCTTGGTGGCAGTATAGCAGCTCTTACAATATTTGCCAACACCATTGCACAACATTGAACACCTGCATTGGCCCATGTAAACACATCTTCAGTTGCTTGATGCCATGCTGCGCAAACGAATCTACCGTATTTTCCCGCATATAGCCCGCATACGCATATAACCCGCAGACGCACATACCCCGCAAAAATAGCGTTTTGTGTAAAACTAATTTCAGATAGCCCGCACCTCCATATACCCCGCATGCATTGATATCTTTAACGTCGTTACCGCAGCTTAATTCCCTCATATTAATACAAAGTTTACATTTGTAATACATTCCACTATCAATTGTTAACATTAAAATCATAACGTGCACGAAGAAAACAAACTAGCCAGAAAGGAGTGAACTTAATACAGTAAATAAGTAACAAAAGTAAATATCCAATAAATAAGTAACACATAACTGGTAGATACGTAAATAAGCGTACTGTTAGGCTTACCAGCATTCAACCTCATCATATTACAGCTACTGGACCGGTAGTTACCCCTGTACAGTTTTAACACTGGTTTATTGAGCACTGTGCAGACAATAGCGGCACTACGGTAACGCCGTTGGCCGATTCTGCGTCTGGTAGACGCTTGTTAAAGCCCTTCCCATTGTGCAATCCATAGCCTCAAAGTGCGCCCACTTCAAACATTGTCCTTTCATTGTACAAACAATTCGAATAATTTAAAACGTGATAACATGTGCAATTTTAGTTGTGAGTGGTTTATTCAGCAGTGCTTTAGTCAAAGGTAAGTGTTGCATAGTGGATAGTCCTACCATGAAAACATTAAACGAGATATGACATGTCACACGTGCAAAATATTTTTGGGATAGCCCGCACCTCCATATATCCCGCAGGGTCTTGTTTTCTTTGTAAGAAGTGGTATACCCCGCGGGTTATATGCGGGAAAATAGGTAGATCTTTCATTGATTAGCATGCAAGCATTTGCAGGTTCTTGCGGCTGATGTTGCCCCACTGGTTGTTGCGCAGGAATAGCAATTGAATGTACATCAGCGATGTTTGCTTCTTCATTGATTGTTACATCACGATAAAGTGGATTGTTTCGAATTAGCCAGTTGAGTGCATCGTAAACCTGTTCACGATGTATAGAGAATGCACGTGTGATGTTGAGATTTTCAAGATGTTCTGTGATGACAACCATTCCAGTATTAGCCATTGCTCATGGAAATGTGTCACTAACTTCAAAGATGTCTATAGCAAAGAGCACTGCCTGTCCATGGAAGCCATATTGGCCGAATTCTCGAGTGAATTTGATGATGTTCACAAAAGGTATCACTCTTGATAATAGACGTTGTTCTGGCTGTGGTAAGACTCGAATCACATCTGGAATTTCACCAGGATCCAAATTATTCCAGTGAGCTATTGACGGTGCAGCTCTATTGTTACTGCTGATGTGTGGCTTGCAATGCGAACACATTTGCAATGTTTGCTTTGATGACAATTCGGTTGGTAGATAGTGCAATGCATTTTCATTACCTCGTACTCTGTAAATATTATTTGGAAAGCAGCGTTTGGTGCAGACTTCACAGTTTTGATTGCAGAATGTATTGAAAAGGTCAACACTCAACCGATTTGTCCACCACAACCAGCTTTATTTTGAAATGGAAAAAAAATCAATATTAATGTAAAAAATTCACTTTAAATGAGGTTAGTGCAAAAATGACGTCACGGACCCTCTCAATGCAGTGTCCCATTGGATGCACTACATCATAATAAACTTTTGTAAAGACACCAACGCATTGAATGTGACTGTTGACCTTAAATAAGGAAAAATACAAGAAATAGTACCAAAAAAATGTTTCAGGCGAGTTTTGAACTCTCGACTCCTACGTTGGTATTAATCTATTTTTTTTTTCACAAAACGTGTTCGCAAAGCACTCGTCGAATTAGGCTTCCATACAAAAGATGAATTGCTTTAAACGAGCCCGGCAATTGATTATTTGATTGCGATTTTGATGCAGGCATGCATTGCCTCTGGATCTGAGTGTGTGCAAAATTTGGGATCGATTGGACAACGGGAACTGGACGATATCTTAATTCGAAGATTTGACCACGACATACAAACAACTCTCGACTCCTACGTTGGTATAAATATATCGTTTTCACAAAACCTGTTCGCAAAGCACTCGTCGAATAAGACTTGCATACAAAATATAATTTGCTTTAAACGAGGCAAGTAATTGATTCATTGATGCCGATTTTGATTCGGGCATGCATTGTGTTGTTGGATCTGAGTATGTCTGCTAAAGTTGGGATCGATTGGACAACGGGAACTGGACGACATTTTGATTACAAGATTTGACGACGACATACAAACAGAGCAATGAAGTTTAATAAAAACAAAATCACAATTTCGTTTAACTCACCGTCGAGAAGTACGTCAATGATGCGGCGCCTGCTGCCACATCAACGCTTGCCTGATTTAATTGATGATTTTAGAAATGAATCTGCCTGAGACACGTGGCGCCTGCTTCTTGGGTGAGACGATTCGAGTGTGTAGGGACCGCGGCGTTTTTGGCCGACACAAATATATATAAATAATAAGGCGTCCATACAAAATGCATTAAAGGAGCCAATTCATTGGTTAATTGATGGCGCTTTTGATACAGGCATGCATTGTTACCGGAACTGAGTACGCGTGCAAAATTAGGGATTGATTGGACAACGGGAACTGGACGATATTTTGATTAGCAGATTTGACCACGACAAAAACCGTTAAAAAATGTAGTTATTACTTTAATTTGGCAAAAAATCTTCCTCTGAGAATTAAAAAGTTGAATTACCATGTGATGAATCCATCCATAGCAGGGCACATAGGACATTGCAATGTCCCTATTATGAATAACTCAGAAGCATTTCTGTGATATAATCTTCCATGGGCCATGCTCTAACTGAATTCACATTTAAAAAAATTGCTCATGGCATGACACCAAACGCATAATTGAAATAAAATCATAGAAAATGATTTTTTTTTTAAAACGACCACTGTATATCATCTATGCTCCTCCCTTGCTGATGCTATGACTGCAAACTCATGCCCAACACTTCCCCACTCCCTTGTGGCATAAGGTGTATAAAAAGTGCTATTTGTTTTCCCATTGATGCCATTGGCCTTTGGTTTTAGCTGCAAGCGCAACTCTGCAGATGTCTCGTCTCTGCACTGCTCCTTGTGGCCCATTCGGTCAATGTTGGGCCAGCCCTGGAGGGGCCATGGGTTTCTGGATGCTCTCATGGAAACGGGACGTATTGGGAGAGTAATGACAAAGCTATTAGGCTTGAGTTTTAAAGTCGATTTTCCAGAAGTATCGTTCAACTCTTAATGTCCTTACAGCCCCAAAGTGAAATTGTACAAATTTGCAGCAGGATTGTATATACCACTAAAATGTTCAATCTCAGCTGAGATAATCTATGCAGGCTGAGTTCAGTTTAAAGGACATGTACATTGCCAGAAAGATTAGCTATGTAGCCCAGGGGTATACTCCGTCTTGGCACAAACATGAAAATGATGCAATAATATTCTGCCACTGCTTACAATTCTTGCATATGCAGCAGCCTTTCATGTTTCATAGACGCTCACTTAAAACACAGTTGATCTCTCTGGTGTCCAAATAGCACCGATATCCTTGGGGCTTACAGTTTTTTAATTACTATTAATACGTCTAATTAAAATACGTACACAAAATGCACGGCAGTGCACATTAGTGTGTGAGATGCAATAGCACTAAGATTATTTAATTGAACGAGGGGGTTGGGGTGTTTTCTTCACTGAACAGAAGAATAATTGGTGACAGATGTGAGAGAGGTGAGAGAAAGATGTCACAGCCTTTGCATTCCTAAGATCCTTGTGAACAAAGACAATGATAAGACCGCACAATGTGGTAGTGTATTAAGAAGGCTGTCTTACAAAACACCGTGGCAACACGTTGTTCCGTGGCGAGGTGAGAGCTGCCCATCTACGCAAGTTGACGTAAGGTTCCTGTCACCCCCGTGGGGGCTCCCGCGTGTCTCTCAGAGCTACATCCAGAGCCTGCGCGAGCGGCAGCACGACGCGTCCATGAGCAGCCTGAGCGGAGCGGCGGCGGGGCCCCACACCACTGTGGACGTGGAGTACGACTGCGGCTCCATGGTGCCACTCACTGCCCCCATGAGCAGTTCCGCGGTGCGCGCGTGACGCTCGGCACCGCGCGCGCACGTGCGCAGTGGCAGCGTTGCACGCATTCAAACATGAGCAAGTACTTATTTCTAGATTTGAAGCTTTCGTGACTGGCAAGGATTCATACTCTTAGGTTTTTTTCGGTAAAGTCACGTAGGTAAAAATAAATAATGGAAATAATATAAATAATAATAGAAATGAAAAATATAATTTCTATTGTACTTGGTCACACTCCTAGGTTTTTTCGGTAAAGTCACGTAGGTAAAAATAAATAATAAGAATATAAATAATAATATAAATAATAATAGAAATAAAAAAATGTATTTCTAAAAATAATATAAATAATAATAGAAATAATAATAGAAATAATATTTTTTATTTCTATTATTATTTCTATTATTTATTATTATTTATTTTTACCTACGTGACTTTACCGAAAAAACCTAAGAGTGTGACCAAGTACAATAGAAATTTTATTTTTATTACTATTATGTAGGTAAAAATAAATAATAATAAACAATAGAAATAATAATAGAAATAAAAAAATAATTCCTATTAGTATTTCTATTATTATTTATCTTATTTTTATTTTTTATTTTTACCTACTTTACTTTACCGAAAAAAACCTAAGAGTGTGACCAAGTACACCGCAGCAATATGCAACACATGCCGCACAGAGGCTATGCTTTAGCTGTGCCACCGACACCGAACATCAGTATTCGGTCAACAGTATAACAACGGCTGCCCTTGTGCAACACTGCTGTACTTATGTACAGGGATGCTGATATTGGCAGGCAGAGATGTCATATTCGGCTTCGCGCGATGCCCGCTAACATAGAAGTGGACGAAAATACTGCATATGTACCTATTTGACAGTGTTTTTTTTTGGAGAATTTGACACTTATTAATGTGGATACAAAAGGGGGAAATTATCCCCTTATGCATACAGGTCTTCATAAGCATTTATATACAGAATTTACAACTGTATCAGTATCAACTTATAAATATGTATGCAGTACATACAATACATGTACATACGAATATCGTCTACAGGGAGTCTCTAGAGCTCCCGCTAGTGGAGGCCCTTCCGCCAGCAGTGGAGTGAGCAAGTAGTTGCAGGACTGTACCTTTACACTTTACATTCAACCTATACGTACAACTATCCATAGGCACACTCACATTTAATGGGGCAGGAAAAACTTCGGAGGCAACATGCAAATCCTGCACACACCAATAGATGCTGTACTTTATTTTCCTTTGTAATTACCCCAAATATAAATGCACTTATTTCATCCTATGATGAGAACAAAATCAGGAGCTATAAAATTTGGCAAGCATGATGTCACTGTGACCCAATGCTCGAAAACATTTTGACCAGTTCTCACATTGTATAATGTGTATGTGCGTGTGTATTTACAGAAGGCAAACACTACTATAAAGACAATAAACACACATACATTAACAAGTATAACCCATAAAAACTAAGTTTTTCACTATAAATCCTTTATATGCGTGGCGGCTAGAGTCCTCTCGTCCTCTGGCTTGAGATGGTTGCCACCTATGGGTCAGATGATTGCATGGCACCATTAAACAATTGGTAATTAAATATAATATTTTTGTCCTAAAAAGTGTAAAATTTAGGGAAAACATTTTTCACGAACATTAATTGTCACGGGAAGTGGGTTAAAAAACGACCGAAAGATTTGCACGGTCGTAAGCAAGCAAGCGAACTTAATATAAAGGATTTAAAAATGGGATGAAGTCATTTGTGGACATCCGAATAAAAGCATGGGCAGATGTCACGAGTAAAATCATGTGCATCCCCACACCACAGTTTAGTGTACACTGTCCATTTTTTTAAATTATAACATTTTCCATGTTGCAAGAAAGCATACATTGGCCATTTGCAACTCTCAACTCTCTTGCATGATGAAAATAATTAAACTAAACAAATTTTTTTAGACTATATATTGCTCACACGTACATTTAATTCTACAAATTGTTTTAATCACACATGCAGCGTCATTGCATATTATAGTTATTTGTGTTAAAAACCTAGCTTTTAAAGTGCAAATTCATATAAATACACACTACATACACAGTGATACACACACACATACACACCGGAAATGAGATCAGTTCTCGCTTTAAATCAGCCACGATGTTTTTACTGCCAAGGCAGGCTAAAACAGCTATATACTAAAGCACCATGCCGGAACTAAAGATAAAAATGAGAACAAGTTGAGGTGACACATTGTCTGTGAACGTGTAGCAACATTCCCTCCCACGTCGAGGCTTAGCACTCAAACATGACACTGAGTCATGAGTGTCAACCGGCTTCTTTATCCTGGGCAGTGATACTGTGGAATTCTAGCTTTAAAAAAATTATCCCGTAAAAACAAAGTTTTTCACTTAAAATCCTTTATATGCGTGGCGGCTAGAGTCCTCTCGTCCTCTGGCTTGAGATGGCTGCCACCTATGGGTCAGATGATTGTCTGCCAGCATTAAGAAATTGGTAATTACATTTTTTTTTCTTTCCTAAACAGTGTAAAATTTTTGAAAAAAATTTTCACAAAAATTAATTGTCACGCACAACGAGTCTGTGTGGAAAATGTCAGCTCGATTGGATCACGGGAAGTGGGTTAAAAAACGACCGAAAGATTTGCACGGTCGTAAGCAAGCAAGCACACAAGCACGCAAGCAAGCAAGCAAGCGAGCGAACTTAATATAAAGGATTAAAAAAAACACCTTCTGAAGGCGCACATCAAAATTACACAGCGGCTTTTGCACAAGTTATATGACTTAAAATAAAATGGACACTGAAATCACACACGCACATTATCACAAGTTCAATTTGCAACTTCAGTTTTTGGCATCAATTGAAATGCGCTGTAAAGAAATGGAAATAACTTGTCGATAAGATTGTATGTGTTACCAAAACACTGGTACACCATAAGTTAACTACTGCATTGTTATAAATTACCCTAAACAGACGTAGATGAAGGGAGAATTAGAGATTTTTTTGCCATAAAAAATTAAAATGTGAAAAAAATGTCAAATCCATTTAATGGTAACATGATTTTTTTGCTGTTAAATGCTTTTAGTTCCTGTGCTTGTAAATTATGAGTCGTAAAACACAGCAACATAAGACGATTTTAAGCAAACATAGCATTAATAACAATATGTTAATGTTTATTCCCTTAGAGTTCTCATGAGTATTGTGTTTTTGTCTATTTATTAGCTTTCATTATTTGCTAGCACATGCACCAATACACTTTAAACGCTCCACACTCGGCACCCACGTGCTGTATTTTAGTACCAGAGGTTGTATGTAACAACTTGCATATATGGATTCATATTTTTGAAAACGTTGATATTTGTTCGCAAGTTTGCCATATTTTTTGCAGCCCACACAAGATGTATAGCGCTTTAAATGCTTGCCACATTATGTGAGAACGCTTGCTTTGCACACACTTTAATTTATAACTGTTGTGTGAGTGTCCTTAATTCTGTATGTGTTCGTTGTGTTGTATATGACTCGTGATGATTGGAGTCCTTTGACCTGCTTTATATACATTTGCTCAATGACCTTGAAGGGGTTTTTTTTACCCTTGACATTTAATTGAAACTACTGTGCGAGGTTGCTCTCTGAATTATTTATTTGCAGATGTGAAATTTCATTGTTGTAAATATAATAATGATGATACGTGTATAGTTGCCTCTACGGTATGTTATTTATTTAAGTTAAGACACGCGGCCCCAATGCAAGTCTATATTTTATCACCCTTGCAATAACACGTAACATTTCTCGTGAAAATAAAACCCGAAGTTTTAACAAGTGTCCTCCTTGCAACTTGTTTTGTACGTGTTATGCACACAGGATCAGATTATGAAAACAAAAACAAACTAAAATTGTCAATATGCCGAGAATTTGTGAATACCATATATGAGTGATCAACACATTTTCAAATGGTGTTGTTGAAAATGTCTATTATCAAATGCAACGAGTAGAAATTCTTATTTTATTATTTATACATTCTCAATTACACAATTTCCCATCGACAATGCATAGACATTGCTATTCTCCCAGCACTGCATCGCTCTCTTCAATTCATACAAATGTCTTAGATTCTATGGTCTGTAGGGTATGAGATTCCCCATGAATGTGCCGTATTTGGTGGTGGCTCGGCATACACCTGCAAATCAACAATGTATGTGCTAATATCATCTATCCCTTCTCTATGGGATAGAGTGTTGTCCCTTTGCATGCACGAGTTTCTCAGTGCTCCGATTTCTTCCCAAACGTATAAAACACCCACTATTTAGCTGAAAACATCTACATTCATAAAGGACTGCAGAGCAATTTTTAGCACCGCCTCATCGCCTGGCAGCATTGCCAGCTTGTGTGTGCATCCTCGGCGATTGTGAAATGTTGTTTTGTATGAACGACGCGATGTAAAATTATTAGATTTTTTTATGACATTACATTGAGACAATGAAAAGAGTTGCAATGAAAATTTGCCTGTGGTGTGGGTTCCTAATCTGGCAAATTGTTTGCTGAGACCGCATTGGTAGTTGTGCACATGCGAAAATAATAAAACGCTCAACCCATTTGTCAACAACAACTGCTTTAAGAGGGACAACATATAGCGTAATAGGCGACATTTCTGGCAAAGTGCCTTCTTCATAGCCCATAAATAGAGAGTCCGGAGAGAGTGCTGGAGATTGGCCTATGCATACAGGGGAGGGTGTCATGTGGGTGAATGCTGGTTATAAAATGCAGTAATAAATGGAGCAGTCGAGGCAGTTGCTGACGGTGATCATTTAGTGTATTTGTTTAAACAGTGACCAGTGTCTGAAGCTTTGGGGACAGCCACAAAACACAGTGGACTACTACAACTGGTTATGAAGTTGTAGATACTTTTACATTCTAGATTTGAAGTTTTCGTGACTGCAAGGATCCATACTCTTTGGTTCTTTCGGTAAAGTCACGTAGGTATAAAATAAAAATAGTAATAAAATAATAAAAATTACATAAACATGAAAATAACGAACTACTTTTACATATAGCTGAATAGAAAATGAGGAAAACATTTCAGGCGTTGGGCAGACCAGTGGGTCAGAATGTCAAATACGAGGAAAAACTGTCCGAGCACAATAACAACAAATAATAAAAACAAACTTGCAGTAATAATAAACCACCAGTTACATGTGGAACTGAGTCATTTCCAGTTGCCCAACTGCCGATGTGCCTGCGGTGTTTTTGAGGATTACCAGGGGGGGGGGGGGGTCACGTGTGATGCGGTGGGTGGCTGGAAGCGCGCGCGCTAATATAAAAGGGCACATGCTCGAATAAGCGAGCGCCTGCCAAGCGTCGAGTTGAGGAGCCTATACCGCAAGCACGATGCAGAGGTTGTCCCAAGCAGCATTTCGCATGTGGGCTCTGGCCTGCATGGCCACGTGCGTAATCATCAACGTGCTGTCTCAGGATCTTCCGAGCAGCACCCCCGATGCCAAGCAGGCCATGGTAGGTGCCACCCATCCTGCACCATTACACGAATGCGCCACATATTTCAACTTTGCATTGACATTGATTTACACCATTGGAACCTCATTTGCCAGTAAAAATATGATAATTGTTTGTTTTTACCCTTCTATCTGGCAACAAAACTGACACCTTTTTTTTTACAAGGAGTCATGTTTACATAGACCACAATACCTGAAGTCATAATGCAAACAAAAAACATAACTCTGATAATGTGCACTGATTTTTTTTTTTGCATTATGACTGCAGGTATTGTGGTCTATGTGAACATGACTCCTTATAAAAAAAGGTGTCAGTTTTGTTGCCAGAGAGAAGGGTAAAAAAAATAATTATGACATTGATTTGTTTGTATGCGTGTGTTGCTGCTATATTATATGTGCGTGTGAATTTTAGGAATACTTGCAGAAATTTGGTTACATATCGAACGGAAGAATCAAAGTCGAGAATGAAATGGGGAAAGCAATCAGGTACTGTGGTATTTTTGTCTGTAGTTATACGCACAACTCTAAAACCGGAAGATTAGTTTTTACTATATGCTGGCTGCAGAGTGACCTGCAAAAGGCCGTCAAGGTAGTTGCTGACCAATCTGAGTGGGTTTTTGAATACAGTATTTGAGCCGTGTCTTTTTTCAAGTGCCTTAAATATCCATACCTCTGGAAGTGATGTATGATCTCCATTATGAAGTAACTATGACACAGTGAGCATGGCCATAATTGCCATACACAGAGCTGCAAATCAGAGACCCAGCGTGGGCTATGCATCATCCCTAAGCAGCGGACGTGGCCGCTAGAGATCGGTGAAGAATGCACGATTTATCAATTTCCTGACAGCATTTGGATGCAAAGGTGGGCATGCACAGCTCATGTGCCTCAGCCACCAGGCGTGGGCAAGGCCAGGTGCTAACAGAGTGGTAGACAATGAATACATCACTTGCGCTATGAAGAATGGGCATTTACTGAAACGTCACGCGTGATATATTTTTCCCTTTGATGGCCGTGTTATTGACGAATGTGTGTTTAATTGTTTATTGTACTCCACTGCCAAAGTAGGGAATCAACGGTTCGTGTGGCGGGCAGTGGCTCTCCTGCTGCCGAGTGTAATTTTTTAAATCCTTTATATTAAGTTCACTTGCTTGCTTGCTTAGGACCGTGCAAATCTTTCGGTCGTTTTTTAACCCACTTGCCGTGATCCAATCGAGCTGACATTTTGCACACAGACTCGTTGTGCGAGACAATTAATGTTCGTGAAAAAAAATTCAAAAATTTTACACTGTTTAGGGAAAACAAATTAAATATTTAATTACCAATTGCTTAATACTGGCAGACAATCATCTGACCCATAGGTGGCAGCCATCTCAAGCCAGAGGACGAGAGGACTCTAGCCGCCACGCATATAAAGGATTTAGAGTGAAAAACTTTGTTTTTACGGGTTATACTTATTTTTGCCTCTTGTGCCCTCGACGTGTCGCCCTGCACGCAGTGAGTTCCAGCAAATGGCAGGACTCAGGGCAACCGGCCTGCTGGACGAGGACACAGTGGCGAAGATGGCACAGCCACGCTGCGGGGTGGGAGACACGCCCAGGGACATCACGTTCGCGTGGAATGGGGATGTGAGCCGGAGGAAGAGGTCATCCGGTTACACGCATAGTGGTATACCAGACACACAGACTTGCATTTCGGTTGCAAAAGTGTATGATTGAACAATGTACGGCACAACGTTGTGATATCGTACCTGATTAACTACTGTAATGACGATTCACGATTTTGACGGAATGCTTTTGTACTTCTCGTTACGTTCGTGCAACGAGAGTGGAACAAAAGGCTGCTGCTTTCAGCGGTGCGATGCCAATGATGAGCACGACAACGAGGACGTGGCCACCGGTAACAATGATGACGATGGTGGTGGTGGTGATGATCATCACGATGACAATGATGACGATGGTGGTGGTGGTGATCATCACGATGACAATGATGATGATGGTGGTGATCATCACGATGACAATGATGATGATGGTGGTGATCATCACGATGACAATGATGACGATGATGATGGTGGTGATCATCACGATGACAATGATGACGATGGTGGTGGTGGTGGTGATCATCACGATGACAATGATGATGATGGTGGTGTATATCACGATGACAATGATGATGATGGTGGTGATCATCACGATGACAATGATGACGATGATGATGGTGGTGATCATCACGATGACAATGATGACGATGGTGGTGGTGGTGATCATCACGATGACAATGATGATGATGGTGATCATCACAATGACAATGATGATGATGGTGGTGATCATCACGATGACAATAATGACGATGATGATGGTGGTGATCATCACGATGACAATGATGACGATGGTGGTGGTGGTGATCATCACGATGACAATGATGACGATGATGATGGTGGTGATCATCACGATGACAATGATGACGATGATGATAGTGGTGATCATCACGATGACAATGATGACGATGGTGGTGGTGGTGATCATCACGATGACAATGATGATGATGGTGATCATCACGATGACAATGATGATGATGGTGGTGGTGATCATCACGATGACAATGATGATGATGGTGGTGGTGGTGATCATCACGATGACAATGATGATGGTGGTGGTGAACATCACGATGACAATGATGATGATAGTGGTGGTGGTGATCATCACGATGACAATGATGATGGTGGTGGTGAACATCACGATGACAATGATGATGATGGTGGTGGTCATAATCACGATGACAATGATGATGATGGTGGTGGTGATAATCACGCTGACAATGATGATGATGATGGTGGTGATCATCACGATGACAATGATTATGATGATGATGATGGTGGTGGTGATCATAACAATGACAACCAACCGCCTCTTGTTTCGTCTCAGGGGGCCGGTGGCGAAAGACGACCCTCGCGTACTACTTCCTGAACCTGACGCCGGACCTGAAGGGGAACGAGGTGAAGAAGATCATCGCGCGCGCCTTCCACGACTGGAGCCGGGTGACTCCGCTGCGCTTCTACGAGACCCCGACCTCGCGCAGGGCCGACATCCACATCCAGTTCAGCCGCTTGGAGCACGGAGACTACGCGCCCTTCGATGGGCCGGGTGAGCGTGAGCCACGGCCCCATCTCATGACCCTCACCAATACCAATAACCCCGTCATTCGGCCTGCGCCCGGCTGGATGCACTTTGAGGCCACGTGAAGTTGGATTAACGACACATTTACGCGATCAACCCCATAAAACCTTTATTATGAATAATATTGGTCGCGAAGGCCGACGGGTTAAACTGAATATATAAACGACTTGAATGTAGAGTAGAGAACATATGGTGATGTCAACACCGCCACATGCTTGCACGCCCACTCGCCAGGCAGCCAGCCAGCCAGAAAAACTTTTTGTAATACATTATAGCAGTACGGTACTGGAACTGTACATGATTTGCACAAAATAACTGGGGCGTTTGTATGTCGTTGTATGAGGCCACCAGCAAGCCTGTATCGCACACTTAGAAATCAAGTCTGGCACAACAGAGATGTGACTAAACACAGACACATTTTAAACGTCCCGGGTTTTGACGACATTGGTAGGAAATCCTTCATATTGCATGAACAATTACATTCAGGATTGTGAATGTCAACCAGTATTTCAAAATATCCATGATCACATTTTAACGTCTTGAATGACAAATAATACAAATCTTTTGTTTTGCTGGGAATACATTTGGACTCGGTGATTCTTGGACAGCTCCTGAGTATAGAGCTCAGCCAGAGTGGTGGAAGAAATATGAGGTCCATTTCCAGATGAAGTACGTTTGGAACATTGAATTCATGAAGAATACAATTGCTTTCTCTGAAGTTGGATGTCATCGATCCATGCATAGGGCAAATAATAACATGTAACAGACACAGGATAAAAATGTTGCGTTTGAGTTTGCCATGGGGAATTGGAAATGCTTTCATGGAAGAACAATAATGGACATAAAAGCACAGGAAGAGAAATGCTTGAATAAAAAAAGATGCATTATTTATTACTAAGACTATGACGAATTAGACGTATTGATAGCATATACGCCAACATAGACAGTAGCCAAAGTAGTGGTGACCAAGAAGGCGACGGAGTGATGAAAGCAGTGCACGTTTTGGAGGGAGATAATTGTAGCTGGAAATGACTGTGGGTTGTGGTGTCAAAATAGAAAGGCCTTCATTAAGCATTGAACTGAAAATGGTTGATGATCTGGACACATTCATGGCTACACTTTATGTGTGCATGCATTAGCAGTGAAATGACTCACCTAACAACCCCCTCCCCTACCCATCCCCAGTAGTTTGATGAATTATCGTGACTTCGGGTCATAGTTTGATTTAGTGTATTTTTTACGTTGTGGTGAATGGTAGCGCCTCTTGTGGGTGCAAATGTTAAGTGAACGAATTTCACAGTATTTTAATGGGCAAATATTACCGTAATTCTTACACTGTGAAATAAATAAATAATCCGTTTGTGATCAGTTAACGGTGATCAGTCTATGAATGCACAAGCCCCTACCACGAGAATGTGGCATTTCCATTACTAGCCCATGGCCTCCAAATGAGACGAGTGTTGACCAACTGTTTGTATTACTCGGTATAAACGTTATCTTTAACTAACTTACACCTACACAGCGTTTTGTCTGGCAGTGAGCAACATTTTCACATACTTGGGTGCCACTGGTGCAAAGGGCTGCTTATCAACTGCGCTCAGGACACAGCTGTGGTCAGTGACTTTCCCAGTCACCGTGACTGTGTCGTCGTGAGAATGACATTACCAATATCATGTCCTCTTTATAAGGCATCAAGGTTTTGAATTTTGAAATTTCCTCCCGATGTTCCGCTCATGGTTGCATCATGGTTGCAACAGTTTCGTAAAGGTTGTTTCATTTGCATCATGTATAATAATTCACAACGTGGTATTCTGGGCACACGAGAGGCATTTGCATTATAATCCTCTGCTAAACCCAATTGTCTGTTATAAGTCACGACGTTTCTTCGCCACTTCAGAAAAGCAGTATACCATGAAGTCAGTTCTCATTCTACGTATTTTAGAGCTTTTCTTTGTTCAAAATGTCAACTACATACTCCCCAAAATGTCCTCAAAAAGGAGACAATGTTTCATTTCCGTCAGTATCTTGATGTTTATCTGCTCATAAGTAGCGGAGTGCATTTGGAAGAAAGCGAGTCATTCTGTCGCAAAAATAAATAAATCCAACGTTGCCCTGTGTTCATTTGCCAACGGCGAGGCGGGCAGTGCTTTTACGCAGGCCCTTATTCAAGTCGATATGTCTAACACATGAGTCACCAGCCCTTGGATTCACTCAGAATTGGCCGCTAGCATAATCAGCTTTTCATTACTCACCTCCCTGTCACGCTCTTAAACACACAGCCCCGTATCCATTTATTCCTCCTGCTAATTTAAATCTCTCCAATCCACTGCTGTCTGCTTAAAAGGCACCCAGAGCTAATCATTGAAAGGAAGGTTAAATATGATTGATGAAGAATATTTTTACAAAAACCGATCTGCCTGATGACATGATGAACAGTACAGCATAATTTCCTTTCACATGATTGTTAAATACCATTGGCAAGGTAATGGCTATGGCCATGCGTGTAACTTATATACAAGCATCAGAGTTGTGGAACAGCGGTTCGTGCATTGAGCCACAATCCCTGCAACGTGGGTTCCAATCCGGCCCACGACACACATCAGTGGCAAGTGTGGTCTGTCCCTGTGGTGAACCTCACATAGGATAGCTCACTCATACATGATGACCTGATGCAGTATCTAAAAACTTTCGCTCAGAACACAAAGCTAATCAGCCATGGCGCTGGCCATACTGGACTTAACAGATACTTATTGTATAGCATTTCACTCTTTGGTCTTTTCGGCTTACTGTGTGTGTGTGTGGGAGCGAATCCAGCCAACTGAGTTCCATTCCTGGTTGCCTCTAGAATCAGCATATATTTTTTCTAATATTTAAAATTCGAACCCTCGCGCCAGCGGCACGCAATAACCTACTCTTACAAAGCAGATTGCACGGTATATTGTTATCTTTAATACACCCACCATAATGATTTATAGCTCCCGCTGGATTCGAACCGTGAACCGCTCCAACAAAGCATCGAATGTGCTACCACTAAAGCCATGTCACCCCTCAAACCGTGTTCTCACTCCATGTACCCCTAACCACCGGCCCCCTCCCCTCCTCTTCTGCTGCCTAGGCCGTGTGCTGGCGCACGCGTACTTCCCTGAGGACGGCCGCGCACACTTTGACGAGGACGAGCAGTGGACCGAGGGCACCGCGCAGGGAATGAACCTGCACATCGTGGCGGCACACGAGTTCGGTCACCTGCTCGGCCTCGGGCACTCCAAGGAGCAGGCGGCCCTCATGGCGCCCTTCTATATGGGATACAGACCCAAATTCCGTCTGCACGCGGACGACATCGCGGGCATACAGAGCCTCTACGGTACACGACTCGGCAAGCGCCCCGGCACCGCTGGGCGCCGGGTAGCGCAGCGCGCACCGCTGCCGCGCTCGAGCGCACAGTGGATGCCACACGGGAGGAGGGCGGACGAGGGAGCCGAGCGGTCAGAAGGTGTGCGGTGGGAATAGCATTGTGAGATAGTTCCAAACTGGACCATCGTGCAATGCTTATTCTCTTAGGTGGTGGTTGTGGTGGTGGTGATTCCTGGTGGATAACTTGACACTAAGGGCGCGTTTTCACAAATCTATGTGCAAATTGAGATGTAGCTCGTGTCTTTAATTACTCTCACATCAAGTTGATTATGAAATGATAATCAACTGGATGTGTATTAAATGAAAGATGAAGGGAAGAGTTGTAAACCTCGTTTAGGAAAACTACTGCGTGTGTACTGCTCATTTGTAGAATCCTATGTTGAATGAAATCGGTTCTTAGCAAGTCACCAGCATTGCTGCAAGCTTACTTGTTGCAGAGATATTGTGAAAATACAGCCTTCTGTTGCCAACGAACCAGGTGTGGCCCATGTGATAAGATGTCCTGACAAGGCTGATGTGGGTTTCGGTATGTGTGTGTTTACATGTTCATTGGTCAGGTCGCAGCACATCAGCGTTGGATGGTGGCGATTATGATAATGATGAGGAGCTAGCTCCTACAAGAAGCCCGATTCCCCATGACGTCCCGGACCCATGCACTGCTCAGCTGGACGCTATCACCATGGGTATGTGCAGCAGTGGTGCTGGCCCATTGGGGGCCCACGAGTAGAATTTATTATGGGGGGGGCCTTTCAATTCTAAACCCCGAGTGAGATGACATCACGATATAGCCAAGAGACCGAGATGGAGTGAGATGAGAGAAATGTAGACAAAAATGGCAATGAGATGAGACTGAGATATAGCAAAAGAGAAAGTTGTAGGCAAGATACAAAGATGGAGTTGTATGAGATATAGACAATATGGATATGAGAGAGTAATGAACTTTATTATGTAAATTAGCGTTTCATGATTTGAACTTCAGATGACATTTGAAAGACAATTCTGAGACTTGGATAACCCCAAGACGTATAAAGTTTCCAACCTGCTCAATAAGGTTTGAGTCCAAAGCCACAGCGTGCATCGATGGCGAGACAGGTGTAGGGCATTATGGGTGCAGATCCATATGGAGTGTACACATCACATGGTCCACAACACTCTTTAAAGGTTTGCCTCAGAGGACACCTGTGCTGCTTTCACACCCTTGGGCTCACGATTCCACCCGCTCAAGCTTCTGCAAGAGGAGACACCCATGACAGCTTTTCTGACAGTTGACTCTGTCTGTAAAACATATACGAAAAGTTACATGCAAATCCTACAAATGCAAATCCTTTAAATGTCACGAGATCACAGGCCATTGTAAATGTTTAATATCCATGGTTATTCCAGATGGTGAAACAAGTGACTGTGGAGCTCAGACAAGAGACGTCGTCTCGTTTTCCCCAGAGAGGCACCGAGTCGATCATTATTTATAACCCGAAGCGCATGCATGCCAATCTGAGGTCGCAACCGGGTACCCGATACCCGTACCCTACCCGATACCCGGCTACCCGTACCCGGCTGGGTACGGGTACGGGTAGCCGTTTGCGACCCTGGTGCGGCCTGGTACGGGTACGGGTAGGCCGTGAGTCACTGGTGAGTAGCCGTTTGTCACTCATTTCGGGTAGGGTACGGGTATGGGTAGGGAACGGCTACCCGTACACGGCTGGGTACGGGTACGGGTACCCATTTGTGACCCTGGTGCGGCCGGGTATGGGTACGGGTAAGGAATCAAAACCCGTTTGCGACCTCTGATGCCAATTAAAAAAAACACTCATGGTTGCTCTGGCACAGGGCCGGATGAGAGGACGTACGCGTTCAGCGGTGCATACTTCTGGGTCGTGACGGACACGGGCGTGCAACAGGGCTACCCAGTTGCCACCAGCAGCCTGTGGCCAGGCCTCCCTGCCGGTCTCAGCGCCGCAGCGCACTCCAAGCGCACCGGACGCACCTTCTTCTTTGCAGGTTTGCATTGAACCATCGTCGCCATCATGTTTGAAAGAATTAAACGATGACGTCACCCCGAGGCTGCTCTATTTAAGAACGGAAGCAACAGGAGAGCTTCACCATTCTTGCCCGATGAAGCCGATTGTAATTATCAGCGAAACGTCGTGCTACTCATATTTTAAAATGCTGTTGATCCTCTCTTCAGCACACCGGTGGGCTAAAGAAGTGAATTATTTTGTCCTTTGAAAACGTGACACATTTTTTTACTGTTTCGCCGTGTCGGGTGGTGGAGGGTTTCGACACATTTATAAATAAAGCGATCTGACCCAAAAACCTATATTATGAATAATATTGGTCGCGAAAGCCTACGTGTTATAATGTTTGCAAAATAAAGTTAATATTCACTCGACCATCCCGTCGCTTGGTAAGACGTTAATGGCCATAGATCTCCATGTATTACTGGTCTCCCATCATCGTCTGAAGCATTTTTTTTTTCATTGAGACGACTCCATTATTTCATGTTATCAGACCATTTATTTATCCTCCTTTTGCTCTTGGTCCATGTAGGTGTGTGTAAATACCTTCTGACAGTGCGCATAAGCCAAACAACTCACTCAAACTAAAAATGTTTTCTTCTAATATTGTCTATTGACTCATGCCTAGTCTTCAACATTGCTACAGCCTCTCTCTGCATTAAATACACTGCAGATCATATACTATCGATATATTAGCTTGTTAAACTAATACGTGTTAATATATGTGAGAAACTGGCTAGAAGCACAAATATGACAGTCATCTTTCCCCTATGTTCAGGCTGCCTGTGAATATTTGATAATTTTTGGTTACATCGATTTGTCTCTCTCCAACGCAGGGAACAAGTATTGGCGATACCGTGGTTTTGCAAGTGATCCTGGATATCCCAAGTTGATGTCCAGCACTGGGCTTCCCAGCAATGTCGATGCAGCCCTCATCTTTCGGGGCAGGATCTACGTGTTTAAGGTCTGTGAGGCATGCCAGGGAAGAAACAAGGCCATGCTATTTCATTTAATTAAACTGCTGTCTGGACTTTCTCAGGCTTAGGCCTTTGTGTATGAATTAACGCTAAATCTACAATTCATGCTAGCCGTGTATACATTAGATTTTTTGTTACGTGAGTGCTTACCACAGCCAGTGTTTGTGTATTCAAGGCCATACATTAAGGTGGCAGGGTGGCGCAGTGCTAATGATTGTGCCTTAATGCAAGATTCTGGGTTAAATTCTCGACTCAGGTGCCTTTCTGTGTAAAGTCTGTGTTCTCCCCCTGTTCTGCATGGGGTTCCTCTGTGTTCTGTTACCTCGCCTTAGCTAAAAACACAATCTAACTGGTACTGGCCAAACATCCCAGTGCTGAAAAATTACCTGCATTATTATTCAATTTGGATTGCGCATAGCGATATCGTCCCCAAGTGCAAAAAGTGTCTTGCAATTCGGTGAGGATTTCGTGGGGAAATGAGCATAATCAAAATAATAACAACACTTTGGAGACGTGATGCATCATGGATTGTGCACTGCAACAAAACCATGGCGATGATGTTGTGTATTTCTTGCAGGGCGGCGAGTACTGGCGCTGGGACGAATTTCAAGAGCGAGCCGTGCCCGGGTACCCAAGGAAGATGGCAACCACGTGGCACGGCGTGCCCTCGTCCCCCGACGCTGCGCTCACCTGGCGCAATGGCCATTCCTTCTTCTTCAAGGACGGGCGCTACTGGCGCATCGATTCGCATTCGCGGCGCACGGAGCCCGGCTACCCGAGGGACACGGCGGCCGTCTGGATGGGATGCTCACGTTCCCTCAAGCAGCACGATGTCGTTTGGGATGACGTCAGGGACGACGATGGTGCATTGGGAGGCTTCGGCCTCGATGAATTCTCTCGGGAACAGAGGGAATCTGACAATGGCTTTTGAGGGGGGATTATGATTTTGATTTTAATTACCATGATTTAATACCACGCTTTTTTTAATAGAGCACCAGTAATCAGCGATTCTGACGTGATTTTTTATTGTAATTGATCAATTTTATACAAGTGATTTAAAAAAATAATCTCCGCTGTACGCTCGGTTAAAAACATGTGAATAACGTTTCATAAACACTGTTACCAAAAACATGTTAATCCGACGTGCTATTTCACTGCTTCCTGAAATTAATTAAAATGTATCATTTAAACACTTCTATGTTTTCACAACTATATGAACTGAATCCCATTCTCGAACAGTTGTACTAAATCAATTTGTGGGTTTAATGTAAAGTTGAAAGCTACACTGCTATTTTCAATGAATTTTACACATATATTGCATCGTATATTCATCAAACTTGGATTTCAGTTCCCTTTTGCCTTAAAAATACCCATAAACCTGGGTAGACACCATGAAACAGAAAAGTCCATGGCAGCCTTCCCCATTCATAAATCCCCTGTGCTATGGTGCCCCACAAGCTCCTATCATCAGCCTTCTGCTCTTCTCAACATATTTTAACTTGGCAAAATCATCTTCAGCTTTAATGTCATCCATCTATTCTGTGATGATAACATTCCACTTCTGCATCACCATTCACTCCATTAACCCAACCTCACTGTCCACTCTCATATACTGCCATGACACATTCTCATCTTACATGGTTACTAACTTCCTTCAGCTAAAACGTCTCGCAGAACCGAAATACTCCATGCCTTAGCGGTCGCGTGTTAGTCACTTGTTGCAGGGTTCACAGTTCGAAACCCAGCGCCGCAATCATCGCTGCAGGTGTCTGCTTCACAGTCAGATCAGCACAGTTGGCTACATACAGTGCGAAATAAGCTAAACATACTAACAGTCGACGTTAAGGATCTATTGACATCCTTTGCAAGACTAGGGCGCTCTGTGCCGGTGGCGGGGTCCAAATTTTGGAAATTTGAAATTACCCGCAAATTACTCATTTAGGATTATATATGGCACGTGTCGCCTCCTACTGGAAGATTAATTCACAAGGTTACTCTTGCAAATCCTGATCCTGATCACTTGATTTCTCACCTGGTTTAAACAAAATAAACGTGAAACTTGAACTCCTTTATAGGGTCTCCTCAAATCTCTCATTTCCAAAATCTATATGATGCAAAATGCTGTGAACACGCCCATAAGGAAAACACAATCACCCTAATATCACAATGCCTCCGCTGGCTCCCTTTGCAATATTGGATCAATATCAAGGTTGCATTCATTTTCTGCATGGACCCTGCCTATCTCTCCTCTCATCTCACTATACTCCCCTCCATGAACTCTCCTCCCTCTCCACTCTCATCTCACTCTACTCCCCTCCACACACTCTCCAGTCAAGTAACCAACGCTTTCTGTCAACGCCTCCAGTCAACCTTTTCTCAGTGGGAGGTCACTCAGTTTCCTCTCTTGTCTCCATGGTCTGGAACTCCCTCCCCCCACTTGTCTGTGCTGCCCTTGTTCAAGACTGAAGGCCGTATTTCCTCTGCCTATGTGTCTGACTACTCTTAAAAAAATGCATGAGCATATAATTGAGTCGAATTCTCCTTCGCCAAATGAGAAAAAACATTAAAACCCACTTTATCTGGAACCATAATATTTAATAATTCATTTTTAAAGCAACTACAGTGGAAATTAGTGATACAATATATAAAAAAATAATTATGCTTTACAGTAGATAAACTGAACTTGTGTTTAACATAGTACACAAGCCATAGGTACAATGTGCATTAGAAATACATAACACTTGACATTTATAAAATAAGTGATTTTTCGAGGGTACATTTTCGTATAAAATCACATTTTCTAAAAGTGCATTGGACTAAAAACATGTGTGTGCTATAAAGACTATATTACAAGACAGGTTAGGAAAGATACAATCAATGGAGTTAGAAATGTTTCAAACTTGGAGTTGAATAAATTTGAAGTGGACATGCAATTTAAAATTAGTAATCTTAAAAGGTAGTAACTTTCTCTGAAAAGCCCAGAAACCTACTGCATTTACAGCCAATGACCACAGCCAATGACCACATGAGCTCGAGAAAAAAATGCTTCAGCAGCCCGAGGATTGATATAATCTGACATCTTTTGCTCAAACATATTCGCCACGGTTCAGTTCAGGAATGAATCCAATCGAAGAATGATACTCAATCAGTGTTGTGCTTTTTCACATCTTCTGCTAATACAACAACTTTCATTTATAAGGCGCTAAATCACATAACCAAACACCTGGAGATGTCGCAAAATGCAGTTGTCAGAAACAAGCTGCAAGTGCAATTCACTATAGGTGACATCAGGTACATACTTCTATATGTTCGAATGTTACTTAAATAACAAAAATCATATATTTAGAAAATACTAACTACAGGCGATTAACACAAGCTTCACCTGCATGACATTTCCTAACAAAAATACCATTTAACAACGACCTGTAATTATGTCAGGCATTATTAGCTTGACCTTTTGAGGGCTATTTGTCAAGATGGACTGAGGTCAGGACTCAGCACAAGCCATATTGAAAGAGGAAATCAATAAGCATGAATACACATTAATTCTAGATTTGAAGCTTTCGTGACTGCAATGATTCATATTCTTCGGTTTTTTTCGGTAAAGTCACGTAGGTAAAAACATTAAAAAGTTAAATAAAATAAAAATCACGACGTTTCGGAGGCAACACAAGCTTCCGTCTTCAGCTGTATCATTTACTTGATACAGCTGTCGTGGCTGTGACGGTACCACCTGAAGACGGAAACTTGTGTTGCCTCCAAAACGTCGTGATTTTTATTTTATTTTACTTTTTAATGTTTTTACCTACGTGACTTTACCGAAAAAACCTAAGAACATGAATACACACTTGGGCCATACAACAAGGCTCTATCACTTCTTCAGTCTCCTAGACCTGGTGCAACTGTTCATGTGATACACACCACAAACAGCAACATCGACATATGGCCCGCAACTGAGCAGTGAGGAATAACAAACAAAAAACTTTTGAGACAATGGTGTTCGAATAAACGATGACACCAATAGAGAATAATCGGGACAGTTTGATCTACAAATGAATGCTTTTCCATGGAACCATGAGCAAGTAAAATGTACCCGAGCATTGCAAGTGGTTTGGCTAATTAAGAGCAATCCACGTTGTGCAGGTGGAAGCAATTTTCGTCACCAAAAAAAAGCAATTATCACTCGCCTATAGGACTGGGGAAAACGTGTCTTTTTTTACAGTAAATTTTAAAGACTTCTAACACTTTTTGGAAGGCATAATTATCGTCAAGCAATGCGCCAAGTGAAGGGTCCGTGTCTTCGCCGCCTCGTCGATGTCACAGTTCCGTAGTCAGCAGCCTCCTCGTGCTGGTAGAGCCAGGCCTGTCCCGGCCACTGCTGGCTTCAGAGACCCTGCAGTGAAAACCACACACATGTAAAGCATGTATGTTGAACTTATTTCACACCGTGCATAGCCAACCGTGCTAATTGGAGGTGCCTTCACTACAAGCGGGCAGCTCTTCATGAGTTAAAATAAATAATTAGTACATTTGGCATTTGTGCCACGATCATAGCACAAGGCTATCATGAAGGCGCTAAGTCTCACAGACAGGTAGTCTTCCCGTAGTGGGTAATGGTTCTACGTGATTTGCCCATGTTACTAATTAGCAGTTAATTTAAAAAATCCAGCAAATGTAACCATGACGCCAGCACACCTGACCTACTTTATTTCAAATAACGTAATTTGGATATTTAACATCCATTGTGAAGCAGATGGCTCATGGTTGATACACCCGCAGTATTAACGACGGTGGCTGTCGAGCTTGAACCACAAACCTCGACAAAAAGCAGTAACCAGCCACGTCAATCGGTAAAAACGCAATGTCACTGATAATATCGGTCAACACCTGCGATTTGAAGACTTGCCAAAATGTGATGTTGTGGTTAAATATAATCATTGATTATTCCCTTGTCTCGTTATGACAATCCCTTTTTATTCTATAATTTTTTAAATCTTGTTTGTACAGTTTTGTCCACTCAATTAGTCTACATGCAACATTAGCATATACATTGTATACATTGCACATAATCGGTTCTCATATGCACCATTCAATGTGTGTATCATGAGCTTAAGAATCAACTTTAGCCAATAAAAATCGTTGCATCACTGAGGAAAATGCATGTCCACGCTGTCAGTGACGATGGGGGTAATGACATGAATGATGCCGTATGATAATGATCATGCCAATGATGATGTGGCGGCTGCTGATGTCAATAACCAGTGATGATGTGGAAGATCATCATGAATATACTGCTGCTGGTGATGATGATGATAATGATGATGAGGTGGCTGCTGCTGTTGTTGATCATTACAATGATGATGATGATCGGGATGATTGCGAAGGTACTGCCGATGTTGGTGATGAGAACGCCACTGCCACTAACGGTGATAATCATGGTGATGCGAGTGACCTGGGAGGGAGTTCGTGGACTGGGTCTTTCCCGAGCATCGCCGGGATGCTCCTCGTGACAGGGCCAAAACTTGTCTCGAGCAGCACGGCGCTCCGCATGCCCGGCTTGCGTGCAGTCAGCGGCACACTATCCTCGGCACACTTCACCTGAATGAGCACACAATTGCAGCGAGCTTCAGGCTTTGGAAAGGGAGGTTGAGGTGGTTCAATAGCGCACTCAGCACCAGGGTCTAATTATAGATCTAAGTAATATTTGTGAGATGTCTCAAAATCCTGGGTACTTTAATAACCTGATCAAAGGAAATGAATATTGATATTTTCATGTGATATACTCTACTGCCATTATTGAAGGAAATATTGACATTGATTTTCTGAAATGTATGTACAGTAAAACCTTGGATTGCGAGTAACGTGATCTGCGAGTGTTTTGCAAGACGAGCAAAATTTTTTAATAAATATAAATTTGATAAACGAGCGAGGTCTTGCAATACGAGTAGTACGTGTATACGCTTTGTCTGCCGAGCGTCACGTGATCACAATTGATATACGAGTGCTTTGATATACGAGTGCTTTGGATTACAAACACGTTTCCGGGACGAATTATGCTCGCAATCCAAGGTTTTACTGTACTTAGTTAAAATATAGGGAAGTGATTTGCATACAGTGCGATGAACTCCACTACGTAAGTTTGATTCTCAGCCACGGCTAAGATCATCCACCTTATACCCCCACCCCCTCAACCAATCAAATAAAGGTTTTTAGGAAATGTTTTTCGACCATTAACCACATACATACTATCAATCAAATTCTCTGAAGGGCAAATGCCTTTCAAATACATTTATACCTAGCTTTTTATAGACCATGAAAAGGCATTAGATTCAGTGGAAATTTGATGTAGTGGAACCTGATGCATTTATCCAAGCTTTCACACATCGAGGGGTTAATATAAATAAATATATATCGATAAATTATCCAACCATTTATATCCTTCTTTAGTCATGTGAGCTTTGGTCAATATTTTTACTTTTTAATCGTTTGAAGCAGCAAAACAAGGCTGTGATTTGTGTATGTTTTTAAAATAAATATGAAGCAAACAATCAAAACAATTATATATTGGGTGGTGTAACTGGAGCGCCCACTGTTGCATGAGGAGTCAGGTATTTCACGAGGTTGCTGGGCACGTCAGGAATCTGAAAATGAAAACACTGATATTAAAGTGAAAAACACGAGCTGTTTATCTTGTAACTAACTCGCTCTCACTTTTCCCATTCCCACTTGCTACTTCCCCCCCCCCACCTCCCCAATTTCTGAGCTCGGATCTGCAAAGTAACGACCGTCTTCCCTCTCATTGCACAATGCACACTTGTGACCTTGTTGATTGACCTGCAGGGAAATTGGTAAACATTTTGTGGATTTCATAAGTTGTATTGCGCAAAATAAACATGTGAATTCCTCTTACAGCCACAAGACGGGTGGTGGGTAAAAGAATTGGGACATACGGTCACAAGCACAAACTTAACACGAGAGAGTTCATATATCTCTTAAGTCACAGTACTTTACTAAAATTAACATATTATAAACGACCAAGTTATCTGACGGAAATTAAATGGGTGCACGTGCCCCGCCAATGATCCGATCGAAATCCCTAATTTCGATCGGATCATTGGGGTTTATTAGTAATAAATCGGCATTTTTCGACCCCCACTGCCACTGTGTAGCATATTATTATGTGCCAGGGACTCTATGAGATGATATGAGTCCATAATCGGCAATAAGTAACGGCAATGCAGATATAAGTGACTCACAGAATTGTGCGCAGTTGCGTATACAGTTCACGATATCCCTGAAGGCAAACACCTTCAGCGAGCACGATGCCGATCACACAACGCGGTTCGAATTCGACCCTCGATCGATGGCAGCGCCATCGCCGCACACGCGTCGAATAAAAAGCAAGGAACAAGTCCTTACTCACTAACAACTCCTATCATTTTTCATTGCTGGAGGGGTTGCCCCCCACTACCTGAAAATCCTGGCTCCGCCATTGCCTGCATAGCAAACAGAACGTGGTGTGCAATGTGTACAGACCATCTGGACTCTGGATGCTGTCAAATGGACATTGATGAATCAGACATGCACATGCTTTTTCAGCACCAGGAGACCAAATCGCATTGCTTCCTCATGAATAACTCACTCTTCACAGGGCTCAAGAGTGTTAACTCAGCTATTGCACTCAACATATATGCGTACACACCAAGAAGATGCAGCCCACAATAAGGCTATGCACATGCACACTCATGGCAATGTATTGCTTTTCCAGCAGCAATTTTAACTTGAATGTGACTAATATCCACGTTGTTCCAATAAATTGCCACTTCCCCTTATTGATGGCCCTGGTTTACAGTTTCAAATCATGCACTCTTGAAAACAAAAATACGATATCAGGTCTAATTGCTGTACATTCATTATCATTGATTAGGATCACTAGCAATAAACTTGTTTGTAAGCAATTACCGCTTGCAGTAGATTTAGGCTGCAATCTCACGTGATAAAATTTTAAGTGTGCCACGCAAACAGTACTGTGACCACAAAGTCGCTCTTCTAAAAGGGAAATATATTGCCCTATCTACAGTTAAATACGCCCTCGAGATTCATGCGACAAGATTATTGGTGGCGGCTATTAACGCTTTCCTATTCTGAGATGTCTGCAAGTTGCAGGGTGGGTCCCATTCACCCCTACAGCTCGGAACGCAGCAAGCAGTTAGCACTAAATGTATTTAGAGAGGCATAGCGCCATTGTTTTTAAAGACATCGTACTCACCACAGAGAACTGTAGTGACACGACCGCACACTGTGATCGCTGGTGCCAAACTGTGCCACACGCTCTCCCACATGGCCTTGAAGGAGCCGCAGTACCGATAAAGTACATGTCATCGGAACAAATGACATGTATCTTCTTGGTTCTTTCGGTAAAGTCACGTAGAAGGGAAATAATAAAATAATAAAAATAAAACATAATAAAATAATTCTCACGGCGTTTCGGCCACAACGCAAGCAGCCGTCCTCAGGTGAATAACAGGTCTGTTGGAAAGACAGCTGTTCTGAATGACGCTGTCTTTCCGACAGACCTGTTCTTCACCTGAGGACGGCTGCTTGCGTTGTGGCCGAAACGTCATGAGAATTATTTTATTATGTTTTATTTTTATTATTTTATTATTTCCCTTCTACGTGACTTTACCGAAAGAACCAAGAAGATGAATCCCTGCAGTCACGAAAGCTTTAAATCGAAAAATGGCATGTACTTTAATAGAACAAAATCTGAATGGGAAAGCGTTAACATGCCGAGAGATAACTTAGGGGACACACCACCCACGCACATGGGCAAGCGAATACATGTATCTGCAGACGCACCAGAGGTGTAGTGTCGCTCACATCCACGAGTGTCTCCACTGCCGAGCCCAGGAGCCTGGGGTTTAGGAAGCTGGGCTGGAAGATGGAAAATTTAGGAATAAGCAAATGTGCTCCAACACCCCCCCCCCTCCCCCATTCTTATCTCTTTTGGATTACAACTCTAATTACTGATGTAAACGCCGGTGTTGTCCCCACTCAAATAGCAATTAGTTAGTGCTCATTCCCAAATAGGTCAATGAACCAGTGGTGGGAATTCCATATGGCATGGGTCAGTCACTCCCATAAGGTAACTACTATTGACCTCTCAAAAATCATATTTTATTAATGCAAATGGTATTATGGGTTTGGGACAACTCACCCTCCCGGGATTGCAAGAGGATTGTGCTGTCATGCTCAAACAGTAGCTCATCCAGCCGTTAATAAATTATGAAAGCCGGTTTAAGGCAGCAGTGAGAGTAAATAGATTCATAATACACATTCTTGGGCACGTTCTGTACCAGCGGTTTTGCCGGGGTGCTGGTGATGATCGGCTGGTCTGCCAGGTTGATGCAGCCGCTGCCTCCATTGGGGACAGGCAGTTGGCTTGTCCCATCACAGGTCTCATCGCTGGGATCACGTGCCAGGGGAGAGCCCAGACAGAGCCGATAAAAACATGTGGACATGCACAGCGTGGATGCCCCACCATGCAATGTTAACCATTCCTTTAACTTAAATAAGACCGCAGGTATCAGTTTCAAGCACAGCAGCAGTGATGAGATGTAACTTTACACATTAAACAAAGTCACAAGACTCAAACTGATTTAGATGGTGCTCATCCAAATCCCAGCTCTACAAGGGCAAGCCTCAAGTATGAATACATTTAACACACGTGGATGATGGGAGGCAGTTGCTCGTCTCGTTTAAATATAATATAATGCATGTTGTTTGTAGGCATGCCAGACAGAGCATCAATGTTTAACACGTAATTAATTCTTACCACAAGCAGATCACATTGGGTGTATTCCTACAGTTTATTTGTTCAATGTTTTCCTCTTCAATGCCTTTTTAGATAAATAAAAAGTGAGGCTAATTTACAAACTTAGTCCTCAATATAATCTATCGAATTTTCAGTCGTTTAGAATTGCATTGAGTAAAGAAACAGAAAACAAATGGGACTCTTACGTGATATGCTGGCTTGGGAATTTGCTCTTTCGAACGCCGTGGCCAGACTCCTCCGTATCTCGTGCGCCCGTTACAGGCAGGCTGCTGTGTGCTGGACCTAGACGGCTGAAAGAGCACGCAGACAACTCGAGTTGGACAATACGAATTACCTTAAACTCTGCCATTACTGGATACATGTGAAGTTACAAAAATATATCGATATGTATAAAACTGTATATGCTTGCATGCATGTCATATTTATAAATTACCCAGAAGAACACTGGTAAACAGAGTGGAAGCACATGGACATCCAGAATAAACACCTAATTCTAGACCCAAACATCGCTCTTCCTGGCTCTGAGATTCCTCGAAGACAATGCTGTAGCCATCGACCGCATCAGAAAATCAACAGGTCAATGCGGACATCTCCTTGATTTGTGGAGATTTAAAGACAATCCTCAGTGCGACTGTGGCCATGCAATCTAAACAGTAAACCACTGCAGTCTACACTCCTGCAATGCAGGAGTATAAAGACTACACAAAATCTCTCCTGAAGACCTCTCATGGCTAGCAGACATTGGCATTTACCTCCTGAACATATCGGCACACGCAATAATTAAAAACTGCACTGGTAAATGCACAATCACTCAAACGGAATTAATCACATTCGTTGTTTTTCCCCAGTATAAATGTATAGATAAATTAATTACGCACACGGTGTACTAACCATAACTCCACAATGCCTCCGAGTGATGAATGGGTAATGAACGAATCAGAAATGTGTAGACAAGCAAGAGGTGGCTGCCCTCTGTAGTCTCCCATGTGCATCTCACCGGAACGCTTCCCCTTGGTCATGCGTGCTCCGACGTGAAATATTCATATCATCCTGCGTGACCTGAAAGGCAATCAACAAATAACTAAACAGGCACTAAACCATGACCATTGTCACTTATGCTATTACGATGTATAAGCTATGTTGTGATACCACAGAAATTAAGCTTTTAGTCATACAGAGAAGAGCTTCGCTGAATATGAAACTTTATTTTCCTCGAGAGAGTTGTGATCATGATGTTTGGTCACTTTCCCAACGAGGGCTATTACACACGAGGTTAAATCAGTCAATTCTAGATTTGAAGCTTTCGTGACTGCAAGGATTCATATTCTTAGGTTGTTTCGGTAAAGTCACGTAGGGAAAAAAATTAAATTAATAAAAGTAAAATAAAAATAAAATTATATAATAAAATAATATAGTGAAATACATTATTATATTATTTTATTTGTATTTAACTTTTATTAATTTTTTTTAACCTACGTGACTTTACCGAAAAAACCTAAAAATATAAATCAGTCAGTAGTACCTGGCGACTCCGTGTATGAGAATAGATCAACAACCTTTGCTGTACTGCCATCTACTGGCCAACTCATACCACCTAAGATGTATGTCGAGGCACAAGACGACAGAATAAGAATACAGTAAAACCTGGGATTGCGAGTAACTTGGTCTGAGAGTGTTTTGCAAGACGAGCAAATTTTTTAAATAAATATTAATTTGATAAACGAGCGAGGTCTTACAATACGAGTAGTACGTGTATACGCTCTATCTGCCGAGCATCACGTGATCACATCTGATATACGAGTGCTTTGATATACGAGTGCTTTGGATTACAAACACGAATTATGCTCGCAATCCAAGGTTTTACTGTATTTATTTAGACTGGAGGAATCCGATGAGCTATAAAGGTATTTTTCAAAGATGTCCAGATGGAGCGGGTCAGAACGTTACAACAACAAACAATACAACAACACGATAGGAGTGCAAAGTATAGGAAAGGTTAACAGATCACTGTAAAAACATATGAATACAACTAAACTATTGTATCTTATCAGGTAAAGCCGACTGAGCTATTAAGCTATTTTACAGAAGTGACCTGGTCACAAATGACAGCTCAACAAAGTGGCTTACAAGTCTAGCAATCCCTTCTTCAGAATAACAAAATAATAACCAATATCTTCTTAAAATATCTGTCAGTCCATGTCATTTTTCTAAAGTATTTATTACACAAGCCATGGGTGGGAATGCAGACTTTCAGCAGCAATGTTTCAATACAAGCAAACCCTGAACTGGTTTCGAAATACAACGTCTCATCAGCAGAGTCAGGCTTGCCTGAATCAATTCTGGTTATCTGCCGATTATATAGACAAGGCCCATCCCCTTGCTTTATGGCGTCTAAGTTCGACAGAAAATTCTGGCTTACAGGTGTGCACCACCACTGCGTCTATTGTGCACACTGCCGCAGACTTAAGAAAGTGTGAAGATTGTGAACCCACTCGGTCACATGCCACCGCACCTTGCCACTCTCACGCAGCACGGCCTCCACCTGCGCTTTCAGGATGTTGCTCTTGAGCGACGGGTCCAGAGAGAGGCAGGGTGCACCCGCCCCTGGGTTTGCGATGAAGAGGCCAGGGGGAGGCCAGGCTCCCGCCGGCGAACAGAGCAGAGAGCTGAAGGCGTGCGGAGGGATGGGACTGGAGGGATTGGGCTGCACCGTGCGCGAGCCGTCTCCGTGCCAAGTGTCGGAGGAGGCGGCCTGGATGGTGCCCTGGTTGGTTGAGGCACCAATGGTCACAGACGAGATTGGGTTGAGGTTGGACAGAGGAATAGAGGGAGAGCCCGTGGCTGCTGGGAAGGTGTTCAAAGTCTTCTCTTTTAACTTCACCTTATCCACCTGCAAGGGAATCCAGAGACATGTCCATCAAACACCACTATGGTGCAAAATCTTTGCAATACATTCATGAATATATTACCTTTGGTATTTTATGATTCATGACCCCTTTGCAATTCACACGAATTGTCAGAAAATGTGAGTTGCAAGTTCATTCAAGAAACGTTTCTTTTTAAATATTGAAATGCATTGTAGAGCCAGGGGTGGCTACAGGGGAATGACTGCTTACAGTCCATACAATGTGCTGTATATACATTTAACGCAATACATTTTCGCACGCACAATTCAGTACATGTATAGTGTGCAACAACAAACATTTTACTTTACCCACCATAAATTAATGCATGGTAAAAGTCTCAGTTAGCAGAGGTGAAGACTTATAAATGAATAACTTTTCAGGTATTTTCCTTTATGTTAATTAACAAGAAAAAAAAAACATGAATCATTGATGTTACATAAGGTGTTTTTGTTTTCCCTCCAATTTTGATTTACATGTGTAGTGTACTAATTCCGAGACACGAGTAGGAGGCACTCTCTCTTGTTTATTCCGGCCTTCACAGCCATAAGGGATCACTACATGTTGGGCCAGGACAGCCAACATGCTGCCAGACCCACAGCTTGAATAGGGCGAAGATCACAATGACGACGGCATGACGAGTTCCACTCCAGATGGCAGCAGCCCCGACTGTGAGTCAGAGCTCGCCTTTATCCTCCCCAGTGTGGCCAGGCTCCGCCCTCGGCCCCGCACCCCTCTGGATCCCCCAGAAGGCTCCGTGCCTCACCCACACGTCTACATAGTATAACGCGCTCCTACCCACAATCCTATTGTCTACCAATCTACCAGCGCCACGCGCTACAGTGACTAATTCAATGTCACTACACATGTACTGAGAGATCTAAAGTTGGATTCCATTCATAACTTCTCCACCATGCAAAAACAACATCCTGATAGCACGAGATGGCTGATGATGGAATGAGTAGAGGCTGGTGTTTGTGGGTCAAAATGCTTTCTGTTCAGATCTCAACTGGAGGCCAAGTGCCTCTGGGCCATGGTTGAACTCGGTGCGACCTGGCGTCACACTAGTCCTCGATGCACTCGCGTATGAGACCACTCATACCGCCGCAGCGGTACAGTGCGATGTGTAGGACAAACGGCACGCAATACTTTCCGAATGCTCTGACAAGACATTTGCATATTCCATTTGGCTGGTGGAGCACGACTGGTTTGGTAAGATTATTCCCGGAGGCTGGGAGGTGGGGAAGGGTTGACAGCAGTACCGCCAGGTTGTTGACGTTAATGTCGAGTGGGTTGCGGGCCGGGCGCGCTGGGCTGTTCTCAATCTCAAGCTGCTTGAGGCGTGCAGCTGCCTCCTCGTAGCCTGGCTCCACGGACACACGGACGGGCGGACACACGCAAGCACACACATGGACGGACACACACGCGGACACACGCGCACAGACACACAGACGCACAGATGTGGACAAAGCAGTTACGTACACACGCGCCTCGTCGTGTGTACACACAGTTCAAGTTCAAGTTAATTTATTATGTAGAGCCCTGTGAGCCATTCGGCTCTTAAATCGGGTGCAACTGCAAAAAAACATGAACAAGAAAACATCTTAAAGTGACTATGTGACTATGTGCAAACAGAAAATCCAAGAAAAGACAGCAAAATATTGCAGAAAAAGCAGCCGTACACCAATGCTGTGTGCAAAAATCCCAGTGGGATGCAAGTCAAACAACAACAACAACCACAAGACAACTTAGATTAAGGCCATCAGTCACGGACGAGTACAACCCCTGGTAAACTTGTAATGTTTGGCCAACTTCAGTCCCGACGATTCCAACCACATGCCACGGTTTGCCCAACGTCGGCATGTTTACAGGGACGTTAAGGGTGCATAATAGCACATTCATAAAAGCACATGCAAATGCATAAAAGCCTTTGCGAACAATACAGACATGGAGTTGTGCTCACCTCGGAACATGTGTGCTCGCTTTTAAAAGCATTAATTTTAGTGTTTGTCACAATTATTTGGAATTTTTTTATCTTTTCATATTTCTAGGAACTGTGCTGAATAACATTTCTGTGTAAGGTACTTCAGAGAAATGGAATAATCAGTGGCTTGTATGAGTAACTGTAATGTTTTTGCTATTATTGTATTCATGTAAAAGTCGGGGAAGGTTATTAATCGACCTTGAATGCAAGAAAAATTACCGAGCCATAATTATATTTTGCATTTTTTTAAAGCCGGTTTCAAATATACTGTAGTATTTTTATATTCTTTGGGTCTTTCGGTAAAGCCACATAGATAGAAAAGTCAATGTAGTATTTGTTTTTTTTAAACTGCGCGTTTACTAATACTACTCTTGTGTGAAATATCTCATTAATTAACAAAGACTGAACATTGTACATTGTAGGTGGCATGAAACGTGCACTCGTGAAAAATCAACTGCAGGTCTCCGCCGGGGGTTGGTGGGGGAGGGGCATTTAAACGCCCTGCACAAGGTATCGCCCCAGTAAACATGGAACTTTGGGCCAAGGTTTGTCCAACGGTTCCAAACCCTGCATGTTTGCGCAGGGTACAGGGTTTCAGCGGTGGCGGTGTGCACCTGAATTAATGTTCAGATATATACACACACAAACACCTTAGGTGTGTGTATATCTGAGGTGTATCTGTCACCACAGGGACGCTCGCGCCGATGGTTCGTCTCTCAAGTGACTTTCACCTTTGCCATGCGTGGAAAGAAGAGCGGCGGACAGAGTACAGAGGAATGGGGAGGCAACGCAGTGGCCCAGGTTCACGCGATGTCCATCGTGACCAATATTATCCGTCATAAGAGATTTTTTGGGTTTGATTGCGTAAATGTGTCATTAAACCCGCCACCACCCGACACAAACCAATAACTAAGATTTGTGACGTAAACCATACATGTCAATTCGTTACTAATTCAGCACGCCGGTGTGTTGGAGAGTACTCGAGTTATAATTGTCGTGGGTTTACTCTCCAACACTCCAGTGTGCTGAACTAGTCACGAATTGCCATGTTTTGTTGACAGGACAAACCTTACTTATTGGCTGTGTCGCCGTGGTGGTGGGTTTAACGACACATTTATATTCATGCAATCTAACCCAACCACCACCACCAGCTATTACTGTGGTTTGTAGTGGGGGGACAAAAAAAAACTTTACTCACGCACTGGAGTCGTGTACTCCAGCGGTCCCCAACCTTTTTGGCACCAGGGACTGGTTTCGTGGAAGACAATTTTTTAACAGACCAGGGTGGGGGCGTCATCATTGGGTCTTTCCCCCTTTTCAAATAATCTCTCCAGCGACGTTTGTTTTTTACTCATTTATGGCTACTAGGGGTTAGCAGCTTGTGGGCTCACCAACACTGTGGCTGAGACAAGAGCGCAGTGCGCAAAGAGGCGCGGACGGCAGTGCTCAATAATAAAACAATGGGGCCGGGCCACGTGCGGACTCACCGCTCTCACCTCCTGCTGCTGTGCGGCCGCGGTTCCTAACAGGCCACGGCCAGGTACCGCTACGCGGCCCCCGGTGGGTTGGGGACCCCTGCCGCACTCCCTTACCTGGGTCTGCAGCCATCCGCTTGGTGGGTGAAGCCACGGAATGGGGGAACCAGCCCGGCACGAGCGTCTCTGTGGCAACAGCGGAGGCGGCGGCGTCCAGCGCGGCTGCTTGCGGGACGACGACGACGTCGTCATTGGCCGTGACGGGCAGGTCGCTGCTGTTGCCTGCGGTGAAAGAGGGGCCGCTACACACAGCACAGACGGGGGTCAGCTGCCCCACTGCTCCCGCAGCAGGCTGCTCGCAGGGCACGCCGCCTGGCTGGCATGAGATCTCGTGGGCGGCTGCTGCTGCTAGCAGAAGTCTCCACTGCGGAGTGGTGCAGAGGCAGAGACCCACCGTTATAGCCTTAGCAGAGTGTAGGAGCAAGTGCTTTTAGTGAGCGCCTATGAAGGCTGGCACCGGCAAACGAGAGGGTGGGTGGCCAGCACCACAAAAGGACAAAAAAGCACACACACACACATCCCCCAAACCGAACTTCAACTATCATGAACCTGCTAAACATGTTTTTAAATCTCCATTTTCTTCTTCTTCCCGTAGTTTTGCCCTGAAAAATGGGTGTTTTAACAAACACGAAGGCCAGGCTTGACCAAATGTATAAACACACTGCCACATTCCAGACATCAGTCATGAATCCATCTCCTTTGCATAGGAAAGCACCACGATAACACACAGACTGCCTCGAAGCCCTTCGTCAAAAAGCATGCAGAAACCAACTGCTAAACACACATACGTACATACGGCAGGCAGTTTCTCACATACGATCGCCCACTCAAAAATTCAAAACTACTGCAACACAAAACCAAGAATGTCGCCGATTGCCCCGAAAGGATTCAGGTTTACTTTTTAAAAACACACACTGCAGATTATCTGTGCAAAAGCACTTCTGTAGAGGAATGTGGGCATGCCAGAATAATAGCCGTGTCCCTTGAAGAGAAGTTTCTGCTCTTGAGGTGGTATCAGTCAGGGTTGTGTCAATGTTAAAAGTTTAGAATCGTGGTCAGTGGAACGTAATAATTCCTACAGAATCACATGTTTTTAAAAGTGTTGTTAAATGGGTGATGTAAACAATTGGTACAGAGCGTGACTGTTAAATCACTGTAATTTATTTATAGTTCACTGCGTACTTTAATTCAAGGTTATTACTTATATACAGTGTGCCAATGCAATTATGTATGATGGAAAATATAATAGAATATTTAATTTACGGGCAGACTCACATTTAATATTTTATTTTTCAACAGTCACCCCGAACAAAAAGAACATTGCTTTGTAACGTTTAACACAAACACGGCGCTTCGAAATAAGCCCAGTGTAGGATCGATGCAACTTGTTGGAGCTCTCAGTGTAAAGACATCTCAACCTCCCCTTGCATCGACGCAGCACATTGTGTGTATGTAGGTTAGTAAAAATACATGCAAAATTAAATTAAGAGATACGTATACATTTTGAACTATGCATCCCCAAACGCACTAAGCAATGTATACTGCATTTATAGTACACCGTTAGATTTAAAGTGGTTAGGTGTTGATTCAGCGCCATATAAATCTGGAAAGCTCGGAGGCCAGAAGTAGTCCCACACCTCTAATACCACTCTCTCTCGAACCTGACTTTCACTTTAGTACTTTCCCAGATGACACCTGCATCAAAGAGCACCCGATTCACTCTGAGCAAGATTTATACAAGTCCTCGTACACAGGTGCTTCGTGAAATTAGAGTGCATTGGAAGGGCATGGATGACAATTCTAAGATGGCTGTGACGGTTCCACCTGAAGACGGAAGCTTGTGTTGCCTCCGAAACGTCGTGATTTTTTATTTTTATTTTATTTTACTTTTATTAATTTTAATTTTTTACCCACGTGACTTTACCGAAAAAACCTAAGAATATGAAATGCTAAGGTGGCTGCTCTACTCAGGTAGAGGAGGAGGAATGAAGGAGTCAGAGCTTTAGTAGGGGCTAGATGGTTTGGACATGTATTGAAAAGACATAAATAAAGATGTAATTACACGGGCATTGGAGGATGCCGGTGCAGGGCAGCAGTAGATGGGGACCGAGGATGATACTAAAAGATGTGGTGGAATGAGATATTAGAACATTGGATGTGACTCGAGAAGAAGCACATGATATAGGTAAATGGGATGAAGAAAATCTGAGCAGCCGTGCAATAATGAGACCTGTGGCTTAGGACAATGAGTACAAGTGGCTTGCTCAGTGCAGGCACCCAGCAGCAAACACCCCACCAATCCTAGATTTGAAGCTTTAGTATGTATGAACCCCACCAATCAATGATTCTGAAGATGCCTGCATTACAGAAAGAAGCACACATCTAGGCAAAATTTCTAAGAGATACACTCAAGTGTTTCTATAAAGCCATAGGGTAAAATCGTCCACCTAAAGAGCCAATGCAAAATATATTTTTAACATCCGCTGACTATTATATTTAGCAGTGGACAATACATTTATCAGTGGAAGGATATCAATATAGAGCTAGGAGTACATTAAATTTGAGTATACTTGATAACTGCTAGTAATATTGTACATTGAATATTAGTCAGTAGTCACTCGTCCCTCCATTCAAACATTTGCCAGTAAGAAAATAACTTAAATGCAATTAGTTTTTTTCAGTTGAAATATATTTGTGTACGAGTGAAAATATAACAGCGAGTGGAATAGAGCAAAAATGTGACCAAAATTAAATGTACTATGTAAAAAAAATGCCCTTCATAAATTAACCGCTGTGAATACAAACATACATTACTGTAATTGCACAGCCTTTTGTCAATGCACTGCTGGATGATTTAGACCATACTTCACCATGCTGATCACTGCGGGTTCAGTAGCGAGTTGTTGAAGGTGGGGAGCAGTGACATAGGAGCATACAAGTACGTTGCAAAACTCTTAGTTCTTTCGGTAAAGTCACATAGGTAAAAAATGAAATTAAAATTAAAAAAAATTAATAATAAAATCACGACGTTTCGGAGGCAACACAAGTCTCCGTCATCAGGTGGGACCGTCACAGCCACATTTGCTGCATCACAGCCAGATTTGCTGATGCAGCAAATCTGGCTGTGACGGTCCCACCTGATGACAGAGACTTATGTTGCCTCTGAAACGTCGTGATTTTGTTATTTTTTTTTATTAATTTAAATTTCATTTTTTACCCACGTGACTTTACCGAAAGAACTAAGAGTATGAATCCTTGCAGTTACGAAAGCTTCAAATCTAGAATTACGTTGCAAATTTTTATTTTCCTACACTGCCCTCTGCTGTCCACCAGGTATCCCCACAGTGTATAACAACCTGTTGGGCAAGGTGGATCACCCACCCATCCGTGGACCAGAGGTCGCAACCGGGTACCCCGATACCCGTACCCGACCCGATACCCGGCTACCCGGAGTAACTGTTTGTCACTCATTTCCCAACGTCTTGTCTCTTCTCACAATTCAAGTTCCTAGAATCAACCCACCCATGCCTTCAACATTGGTTCATCTCAGAGGTCGCAATCAGGTACCCGATACCCGTACCCTACCCGTACCCGGCCGGGTACGGTACGGGTACGACCGGGTACGGGTACACGTTTGCGACCCTGGTGCGGCCGGGTACGGGTAAGGAATCAAAACCCGTTTGCGACCTCTGCCGTGGACTATCCAAGCTTAATCTTGCAAATCCAGGTGATTTGGTCAAAGGCCATTACTATAAATACAGATATCATTGGCAAGTTATATACACATTATGCATTTATATACATATATAGTTGGAAAGTTAGGTATACTTTATGAAAAGAGCTTGTTCTGTTCTTAATTATAACATTTCCATTCAAAAAATATATTCAGCTTTGGCATTAAAGCCATATACGGAACACGGTGAAACAACAAACTCATACATCCATCCTACCCTGCATCTTAACAAATCCACCACCAATATTCGTAAGAACTGCAAAGCTGTTAAAAGAAGTACAGTTGAGTAATCAGCAACCTTAAAAATAAGATGGTTCACAGCACTGCACGATGCAAGTTAAATCTTCCTTTAAATGTTTCTGATCGCATTTCAACAAATCACAATGGTACATTGTCTACAATATGATTGCAGTGCAATCAAAACTCTCACGAAGCTAAACAAATAAAATGTCTCATATAAACGATGTGTGCTTGCGTTTTTTCATTGCACCTTTGTTTATCTTTTCAACTGCTCACCTGAAAAATGACAAAGACGAGAGCTCGCTGTTTATCACTACACTGATTCCCAAGTATGATTGTGCCAATACACAAAGCTAGCTCTGGCAGGCCACAAGTGCCACCAGTCAAGGATTAGCACTGTTACTGTGCCCACATCTCGATGCACTTTCCAGACATTGACAGGTTTGACAGCTTACACAGTTCATTGTGCCTTGCTTTGGGAACCACACAGATTTTTGGAAGACCGATAACATTCACCATGTAGCTACCTCATCACTATTCGCACATAGCACAGCACATGTATGCATGTTGAACTCCTTTCGCACCATATGTAGCTAACCGCACTAAATGGAAGTGCGGGTTAACAGATCTCGTGATCATGTGGGGGACGAATGGCGTGGTGGTGAGTGGGGTGGCTTTTATAAAACCTTAAATCAACCTCAGCCACACAATCACGATACTCCAATACCATACCAAACTGCTTCTGTTACATATGGCCACCTTGGCTCGCACACAATACAACACAGATTTTGTAGAAAAAATAGTTGAGTATTTCTCAGCTAGACTGTGATTTTGAAACATGTTTCAAAGACATTTTTTTTTATTATCATCCCTTGCTTTTAAGTGTTAAAGACAGAAGTGAAGCAATTTGTCAAATTATATTTGTGAACACCTACCTTAGGAATAATTGCTAAACATATTAAAAACTTCAAACAAAGAGCTCAGAGATAATCCACCGAACTGGAGGAAGCTAAATACACTGCACTGCATTGACTCTGCAAAAGTTTTGTTTTGAGGTATGTTTAACTCACTGCAAGTTTGAAAAACAAGATTTTCGGAAGGAAAGGCTGGCTTGTTCTTGAGCAATGCCACTTCGTGCCATGTACAGTAGAACCTCGGAGATCGAACGCACCAGAATTCGAACAAATCGGTGTTCGAATGGCCTTCTGGAACGAATTAAGTTCGATCTCCGGGGTAGCACTGTATGTTAAACAGCAATAACAACAATACAGTCCTGGAGTATGTTTCTTTTTACAAGTAGGAATTGTTTGCACATTAAAGTGTACATGTTTACCGGTAAGCAGAGGTGGGACAAAGTCATTGTTATGCAAGTCCAAGTCGAGTCTGAAGTCATCAAATTCATGACTCGAGTCTGACTCGAGTCCAAGTCACATGACTCGAGTCCACACCTCAGAGGTGGGACAAAGTCATTGTTATGCAAGTCCAAGTCGAGTCTGAAGTCATCAAATTCATGACTCGAGTCTGACTCGAGTCCAAGTCACATGACTCGAGTCCACACCTCTGCCGGTAAGTGCTGAAGGAATATTCTACATGCACAACCGAATGAGTCAGCAATGCTGAGCCTGTGAACTCACTCGTCTCTCCGTCTTTCTCATTGAAAGCTTAACCATTCTACATGTTTCTCCTTCATTCGTATTTAGTTTCGATTTTTGCTTTTCGCCGCATCACATCCGCAGTCATCCTCAGAGCTCAGTGGTGGGGGTGGGCTGGCTGTGAGCGGATCCTCCGTGATAAGCGGGCCCGGTGCCTCCCTGGTTCGGGCCCATCCCGTGACCCCACTCCTCTCGTGTGGGGTCAGAGTTCACCCTGCACCCTGTTGGGCTCACCCGCTGGCCTGCGTTGAGGTTCACAAGTGGGGTCGTTGGGAAGGGTTTGTTAGTGCATGCTGGCTCGTCCAATGCAAACGATGCCAATGGTTATAACGCAGCAGGGTACTGCTTAGCAAGTCAAATGTGAGCACTATGAACGAGCGGAGTGGGGAGGGGGGGTGCAGCTGCATCCGGTGAGCATTAGCATCATAATTGATTCTAAAAGCGAGCACGAGCAGGCGTGTGCGCATGCACATCAGTGCACTTTTCCAATCAGCCATTAATAGAATCACTAGATTGGCTTGCACATTTATGGCCTTTTGTTATTAGAAAAGATCAGTCAAAACATTGCAAAGCATTTTAATGGGTTAATTAGGGGCAAAAGAGTGCAGGCATGAGGCACTAAAGAGTGTGTTTTGATTTGATGTCGTGCACACATGCAAATGTGTATTTTCTTATGGGAATGTTTACATACTGAGGTGCTAAGAAAACGAATTTGTTTGTTAAAAAGTAATTAGCCATGCAATTATGAAAGTAAAAAATGCTACCTATTGGACTACACATGCAGCATTCCCACGAATGAGTTAGGTATTTATAATCTTGTTGTTTTCTATCCATGAATATACATTCTTAAATCGATCTATTAACATAATAGTTGCCCATTTAACAGCAGAGTAAATCATCTTCACCAATCAACAATACCGCTCTGCGCGATCAGCAGGGGGCCAAACAATCTATTCTTCGGTTACAAAAGCAGCAATCAGAGGACATTACAGCCAGACAGAAAGAGACCCACCAGGTATTTGAAAAGGATAAAATGCCAATACAAAGTAGAGCAGCGCTCACCACCACCACCACCACCACTTACTACAGCACATAGAATTTGGCGTCCACCCCTGCCAAGCCAATCTCTGCTTGGCAGGTAGTAAGCCAACCAAGGGACACCAAAACCAATCAATCTGGAAAAAGCCACCAACAAATCAGATGAGGGCTGCGCAGAAGGCAGAGGGGGGGAAAGCCACCACCAAAAGACGAACTGGCCAGCCCCCCCCCCACCTCGACTTTCACATTGGCAAAGCGACACACGCACACTCACAATTTTACTCTCTCTCACGTACAAACATTGCAGAAAAATCATGTCGATCGGAGAACAGCATGAGCGAAAGAATCAGCAGCCACAAATCGAATTGAAGCTTAAACATTTCAACAGTTCTAAAATAGAATGTGACAATGTAAAACTTTTGGAACCTCATTTGCCAGTAAAAATATGATAATTGTTTTTTTACCCTTCTATCTGGCAACAAAACTGACACCTTTTTTTTACAATGAGTCATGTTTACATAGACCACAATACCTGCAGTCATAACGCAAACAAAAAACATAACTCTGATAATGTGCACTGTCCTTGTCTTTGAGTTGTGCGCCTTTTGGCGTCATCTGGTCCAACCCATGTGAGACTAGGCTCTAAGGAAAGCTAACTCGGGTATGGACCAATCAACTTCAAGGACAGTGCATACATTATCAGAGTTATGTTTTTTGTTTGCATTATGACTGCAGGTATTGTGGTCTATGTAAACATGACTCCTTGTAAAAAAGGTGTCAGTTTTGTTTCCAGATAGAAGGGTAAAAAAACAATCATCAATGTAAAACTTGTAATAACACCAATCCTGCATCACAATGTGATTTGCAAATATGTGTGAACATTATAGAATTCCACAGATGTGCTGAAATAAAAAAAACTTGCAGGAGCTGGTTAAAGGCTACGCACCGAGGAGGATTGCTGGCCTGTTGGTTGTATTCGAGGTGCGTGCCTCCTGCAGGCAGAGATGCAACCTCAGAGAACGAGGACGCAGGCTGGGACCGAGGATGAGAAGGCACAAGGCAACAAAAGAAAAGGCACCAACAAAGACGTGAGCAATTAATTTACAACACTCCACATAACCAATCAAACGTGAAAGGCACTCCGCTAAACATGTAACATTTCACCAGTAAATTGATGATCACAGTTCAAGCTTGCAATGATATTATAAACAGTTCTGGGAAATTGTAATAGCGTGGCAGGAATTGATTTGCATCGTGGTGAATTTCCCGATAGAATTCTGCAGAGTTTTATTAGACCTAGGCCAGGGGTTGGCAACCAAAATAACAAGAGACATTTTTTTCGAAATCAGTAAAAAATAAATATTTCAAGAGCCGCAATTCACGTGAATACGAGATGGTGGTCCTTACTAAGTAATGTCACAAAGCAGTCCATACAGAGCCGCATACGGCCACGGAGATGCAGGTTACCGATCCCTGACTTAGGCTGACTACGAAATGCTGTACAGCAAATCCAATTAAGTTTGTGGAAAAAGGGTGGCAACTCGAGTTGAAGCTCACCTGTTTATTTGCTGTAGCAGTCGTAATGCTGCAAACGCGGAGAGGAGCAAGCACACGAACAACACATGCTGTGGTTAGAAACAAGAGAGGACACACTGCATCGTTCACTTCAAACATAACCCGCAGCACCTCTCACCGTTGAATTGTATGCAAGCGTAACAGCAAAGCAAGCTGGTTACCAAAAATTTAGTGTAGCAGTACAAATCAGTGCCCCACTCACTACACATCACCATGTGGCTTGCAAAAGGAAACTTTAATACGCCCTTCAGAATGAGGCTGTTGCACAATAGAATTTACGTTAATATTATCTTTTGTGGGTCAGAAAAAACTAACCTTTTTGCAGGAATTCTTTGCACAGCGTTAACTGCAAAATAGAAAGAACATTTGAAAATGCAAACCAAGCTCACCAACACAATTTGCTTGATAAAAACACCATGAATTCGAGAATGTTCTTTTCAACGAGGATACTATAATGAACCAATCTAAGAAACCAAAGTGAAGTCTGTGGGTATTCACTTTTCTTCTCGACATTTTTGTGAGTAAATTTGTTGAGTGCTGCTTTGACAGACTATTTTTTATTTATTTTCCACTTACACTTTTGGAAGGAAGGCCTGCGGGAATAACGCTTGCTTGGCCTGCGCTCAAATGAGGTGGAGCGGCGCGCCTTGCTCATCCTCGTTGTCTGGTACTCAGTACGCCCACTGCCGACACACCACCGTCATCGTGATCATCATCATCGTCAAAAGTCACGAAACGCCACGTTGTATTTCCACAACCATCTTCCAAGAGCTGTCGTAGCAACGTTCATTGCGCCAAACAATCCTGTACGTCAAACAGGCCGCCACAGCTGGCACGCGATTTGGTGTTTCCTCCGGTGAATCGCGACCTCTTTCTGCCGTGGCAGAGAAGCGAGGAGACTGAGCAAAGAAGCGCACGTGTGCCACGAACCCTGACCTGTAGCGGAAGCGCGATCCCATGCGGATGAAGTCCTGCCTCTCTTTGGCGTTTTGTGTGGGGCCGCGCAGCCGGAAGAATGCGTGGTGCTCCACAGCGCACTTCCACAGGTGCTTGCAGGCCTTGGGGTGGTCCATGCGGAACACAAACTTGTGCTCGTTCTCCTTGCCCTGTCCGCACACACGGCGAACTCACTCAACGCGCTCCGGCAGCCTGTATAGCAGCAGGGTAAAATTGGAGTTTCTGTTCATTTGTAAAAAAAATAACTATATCTTATATATATTCTAATCCCTATCTCCCATTTTTCGATTTAAAGCTTTCGTGACTGCAGGGATTCATCTTCTTGGTTCTTTCGGTAAAGTCACGTTTCTACGTTTCTACGTGACTTTACCGAAAGAACCAAGAAGACCTATCTCCCATGTATGTTTTTAAAATAGCTAGCGAGATTAAGATCATTGAGGAGTACTGTAATTTCCCAAAATAATTTTTTTTATTAAATATTACAGAAGTGATATCAAAACTTAAATGAAAAGTCATATTATAATTACGTACAAATGTATTAAGAATGTTACGTAATTTTTTGCATGGTACACCCTGCCAGTGACACGACGTTACCAACATGACCCAAGCTTGGGAAATATTTCCCATACCTGAGAAAAAAGGATCGTGAGCTCTCCGACTGAGTACATTACTCACCTGCTCATCATCCTCCACAACGACCAGCGTCAGCCTGTCCCTCTTAAAATCCAAACGCGTGATCTTGGGCCTGCAGAGAGCACATTGCATTATCACCGCTACTTAATATTTATACCGCACCGCTCATGCAACACATGCCCTTTGGCAGGAGAGCCCTTGCGGCAGCTGTCACTGTAAGGTGAATGCAGCACCAGCTAAGCAAGGGGGCATGATTGTGCCAGTAGCAAGATGAACTTTGACCTCTTCGGAACAAACAACAGAAGACAGCACATGACAGACACTCAAGCTCATGAGTAAATGTCTGGCAGTTTCGGTAATGTACGACATTCCAGAGAAGTGACATACATTTTTCACGTGTTGCAAAAATGGTGTAGATGGTGGGAAAGCACAGCTAGAAAGCAGATCATACGGAACTTCTAGCATTTATAGCATTTATTGCCTCATTCGTGTCACAAACCAATGTAAAATGTGGTTTAAATGTATGTCTTTAGTAAATGAGGAATTAACTATTTTTTTATTTTTTTAAATATTTACAGTAATGCGTCTCATGTGATAATGTGATTACACATATGAGAGTTGTAACACGTGCCAGAAGAAGAGGCCAATCTTTGTCTTTCCTTCAAACACCAATATTCCAGTTGGTGTCAGGCCCAGGGTGTAATCGTTGGCATCGCGTCCCTTGACACACAAATCAAAACATATTATCACATCAAGATGCAAAGAGCATTCCAGACAGCACCTACACGTTCGCATCTGTTACATATTCAACCCAAAGTAACTCATTCATCACTATTCACCTCGTAAAACAAATCTATAAACAAGGTCACTACGACCCAGAGTTCCAGCCAGACCACAGGTCATGTGCTCAAGTTGGTGTGGGCTGCTGCATCTTGAGTGAGGGCACCTTGACGGCGTGCATGTCCACACCGTACATCTCCAGCCACTTGGCTCGGTTAAGGTAGTTGATTTCCGCCTGCGATGGCATCTGGCCCCTGCAAAGAACATTGTGCCGATGTCAAAACAAACCACAATCTGTATCTTAAACAAAAGTATTTCCCTTCATCCAAAGTCTTATCACTCATTTTGTTGATGTTTGCTCTTAAAATAAATAAATACACTTTTTTGTTAAAGCCTCTTAAAACTGTTTCTTAATTCAAAATATTCCCAAATTAAAATTCACATTGCACAAATTTGTTGCCACTTTAAGGTTTTTGAGGAGGTAATTACCATTATGCTTCCCCTTGACATATTACTTAAAATGGAATGAGATTGGAAATAAAATGAGACCTAGTCAAAACATGTTTACAATCTTTATTTACATAAGCAATACTTGCAGTATGGTACCCATATCCCATGCTCTATTCGAGATCATCTGCTACACTCCACAGTGAAAAAAATTCTCTCCAAATTGTGTTTTATTGAAGCAGCAGCTATGACAATATAAACAGTTTTTACAAATTCATCTAAATACAGTAATATACTTAGTCTCGAAATCATTGTAATTCCTTCAATGATCAGTTGCTTGAAGAAATCGTAAGTTGCAAAGAGGAGAAACAGTCTTGTGTATATAGGCAGAGCAAAAACACTTCACAACAGTCAATGCAGGCATTCTGTTACAGCAGACAAAATAGTGGTCAACATTTCAGCCAATGCCTACTGTTCGGAGTAGTGAGACGGCTGTTCGTATATTGACTTACTTACAGTTGGAGATAGCATCTACATCATCTTACATCTGCAGAGATGGACAGCATTTAAATTACATGTATTTTACATATGTATTTTAACTACATTTGTCATTACAGAAATCAAAATAATTTGTAATTTGTATCTAAAATGTGTATTGTTTATCTACTATCTACATTAGATTATTCCTGTAATTTGTAATTACAATGTACTATTCGCCATCATTTATTGATGTTTATGCTCAATTCAATTATATGAGTGTAGTCATTCTCATATTCTTCTCCCCAGAGATACTGATGTCTGAATATCGGTAGAGAAAGAGAAGGCTCAATTACTCTGAATAAAACCCATCCTCGCATTGTGGTGGCAATACGCAAGTGTAACGACGGACGAGCCAGGTTGCCACACTACGTATAAATTCACTTGCCCTGGGTCTGACTTACCTACAACTTTTCCACGTATCAAAGACGGCCATCTCCATGTCCTCGGTCTGGCCTGGCACGAAGCGGAACTCTGACACTAGAGCTGCCGTATGTTCCTCGGGGTCACAGTCACCAATCTCAGCTGGTCCACACATGCATGCGCCCACCAACACCAAACAGACGGTGATGCAATCGCAGCTTAAGCTGAATTATTGTCACCACTTCAGGTGGAACGCAGTGCGTGCAATGGTGTTTGATGGAATTACGTTGCATAAGAGGCCACACTTCATGATCACTCAATCGTCCACACTAATTTCGCAAGAACATTTATATTCACATTTAAATTCCCTCTACAATGTACACAAATGTGCACAGTCACAGACGGACATCTCAATTAATTTCTTGCAGAACACATTTAATAATCTTGACTTAAAGCTTTCGTGACTGCAGGAATTTAATCATTATTCCGAAAAGAAACACTTAAGAAAACATTCGTAACATTGGCACCAGCTGCCCATTTTAATAACCCAACAGAACGTGAACTCGCATTATAAATCCCTGTGGCACAAAACACGGATTTATATTGCCTGCAACAGTGAATGCTGTAAAGCAGCCCCAAGGAAGAAAACGCTGCTTTCAAAAAGAAGTTGTGAGAAAGGAAAGGAAGAACAAATAATAAAATGGGGGGGGGGGGGGGGCGAGGGTTTTTGTGACTTGTCGACACAGCTGTGCCACACTAATGAGTCACAGGGGAAGAAGTGCGGCGTTCTAGGCACAGTCTGGGCACCGCGTGCCTTCGTTTGTCTGCGTGGAGAATACTCCAGGCAATGCAGTCGATGATGGACTTCATAAATGCTGAATATGTTTTTCCGTCATATTTTTCAATGACAATGGCAGAGGTATAACGAGAGGTACGCAGAGCAGAATTTCACATATTCCTCTTACAGAACCTGACCAGGGCAGGGTATAAACTAACAGAGAGGGGAGGGGGGGGGGTCTCTCCACTCTGAAATCTACATCATGAACACAGTCCCACATTGACATTATCCTTTGTTATTGCATTAACACATTTGTATTGAAATGTTCTGATTTCTGTTTAATTCAATAAATTAAATAAAAATGTGTTATTACCGTCCTGGTGGTTTGAAAAAAAAACATATTTAAAATATTAAGGTTAATATATTGCACAAAACCCCGGCGACCAAATCGCCTGGAATACGTGCAAACTCATCAGGTCACGGAAGGTAAGCAGAGTTTGAGCCTCGATATTGTCCTTGGAGTGGTGACGACCATGAACAAATAAAGCTTGTGCGGCTATGTGGTGGCAATGCAGTGACATCCATTGTTAAACTGTATGTCCATGCTTCCACATCTATGTTCCCCATATCCACGGCCAATAACCACCCATGACCTGGATGGCATGGGTAGGCCCTCATCCAGAAGTGGATTGACGAAAGGCTCGACGAAAGCGCGGTACATGCTACAAACGTGAACATGAAACCCTTGCATAAAGCGCGCATGCATAGTTTCATTATAACGCTGTAAGCGATATTCTTTAAACAACTAAATTAACTAACAAATAAACACATACGCAAGTCTGAAAGGGCAGTGTGAAGAATGCAGAGACAAAAGCGAAGGGAGTGCAACTGCCACAGTTGTATTCTTCATCAGAGGCCAGAGGACAAAAGAACACAAGAGAAAGGGACACCAATTCATTCCTCGCACAATGACCCAGAACCCAAACTGTGTTTTGAGAATGCATGGCAAAGAGACGGCCACAGCTTTGGCTTTGACCTATTCACGTAAAATTGTAATTATAGCCCATAGCGCACATCGTTTTATTAATCAATTGAGTCATGTTTGGTGGAGAGAAAATGCGACATTTAATTACGAGTGCTTTATCATTCCTCTAACAGATCCCCAACAATTTAAGAAAATGTGTCCAATATTCTTGAGCTGCAGAGATGTTTTTAAATCGTAAGAACATGCAACTACTTCACACCGAAAAGAAAATAAAACAATGTTAACAATAATCAATAGGTCTCCGATGTGTTTTCAAGTTGTACTGAGTGTCCGAGGTTCACTCCCACGTACTGGGCACTTATTAATTTTTTTCAGTTCCTGAATACGCTCCCTTCACGTGGAGCAAAACGTTGGACAACTTGCCCAAAAACACAGTACAACCGAAAAATACATCGGAGAGCTATGCAGCACAATCGTGAAAACCTCACACAGTAGTACCAATTAACCAGCATTAATTCAACTGATGCAAAGCTCACCCTGGAGAGAGATCCCAGCGAGCTGCACGGCTATGTCGAACGGGCACTCGAGCCTGGCCGGGAGACAGAACGGGCACACCAGGTGAGTCACTAGACATCGGATCCAGCATGGGGAACCCTCAGCTCTGTGTGACAATGCAGCTGTGCTCGTCTGCAAGGAGTACATACTTGCCACTGAGAATGTCCTGTTTCAGCTGCAGGACAAACAGGTATCTGTAAGATAAAGTAAAAAGCCAAGTGAAATTCAAGCCAGCCGTTCTATTTCCCTTATAATTCGCACCTCCCATCAGCACGATTGGCTATGTATGGTGCAAAAGAAGTTCATGTGCATGCATTTTACAGCATAACATTTTTTCTCTAAGCCGCGTAATTTTTCCATGACTGGTTTTTTGAATAAGAACATTTCCTGAATGTTTTCAGTGTTTCGTGACCGCAACTGTTCCACCTTTCACTTCCACTTAGTCATCCCCTCCCCCCACGTCCTCCCACCCTCACACTTCATTCCTCCCTGCCCCCGTCACCTGGTGAGTTCCTCCCGCAGGTTGTTTGGCTCTGATGAGTAAAACTTGACACGCAGGTGGAAGCAGTAGGGAGGGCCGACTGCCACAAGAGGCACAATGACAGAGGCGTTTAGTGAATGCAACATCACTTCAAGCCCGACTATGCATAGGGAAGAAAATCAATCAACATACTGAAGCCATAACAAGGCAACATTGGTAACTAAACTCCCCATCAACATCATTATCATCATCAGAGAAATAAAAAAACCAAGAAACAGATTAACAAGATATGCCGCTCAAGCGTAAAATGTTAAGTTAAAAATGCAAGAGAGACAGTGATTTACATCCAAATCCACAAACTTACTTTTCACTTGTTTCTTTATACTCTTTGTGTTATCCAGCCAATGCTGTGGGTAAGAGAGACACATGGTGAATGTGAATGTTTCCAGTGAACCCTTGCAGTGTAATGATGTGGACACTGTTTAGGAGTTAGAGCTGCAAACTATGATGGATGAAGTGCTCAAGGCAAATTGTGTGGTCCATGAGCTCAGTGTTGAGAACTCTTTCAATTGTATGCCACTTCAGCTGTATCATTCTATTTGTTTAAATATATTAACCTCTCATATGGACGCACTTGTTCTCGCGGTATTATTGTTGGAATGTGATGGGCAGCACGGGGCTATGTAGTGGGCAGCAGAGGGCATTCCTGCAAGATGCATTATTTTACTCAACTTGTATGCTTCCATATTTCTGCACCTCACCATCACCAACCAACACTGACCAGCTTCATGAAGTATGGTCAACCCAACTGCCCACAACAACTCCGACGTACCATTTGGGAGATACAGTGTGTGACGGATGGACACTTGTGAATTATATATTGGGATAAGGATGGAGCTGCAAACTTCTGTACACGTTTTGGTAACGGATGCACTCATTATATATGTTAAAATAGAAACCAACGTTTGTAAAAATGCAGAAAGCAAAAGCATCTGTTACCAATTCAGCATTTAATCAAGTTCACAAGCACCATGTTCTGTATATCTTATCGTATTTGATATTTATGGAGCGCCTCCACTCAAGGCGCTTGACATAGTAAAACAAATGATGACAAAATATAATGATTTAGATGACAGGGGTGCGCAAGGATTTAGAAATGAGTGACCACAATTGAGGTCAAGAAATAGTTGGGAAGGGACGGGAACGAGTGGGAGAGGCCAAGGGCCCAACGAGGAAGAGAACGGGCGACAGAGAAGAGGTGATCTTTAAGAGAGGAACGTAAGGAGGTTAAGGAGGGGCACTGCTTTCTGTACAGGATAAGTTAATTCCAGTGGAAAGTTGCAAGGAGGGAGAAGGACCGAAAATGAGATTGGATACATAGATAAGGAGGGCAAGAGAGAGAGAGAGAGAGACAAAGATAGGGAATGAAGAGGATTAGAGGGGGCATAGAAGGAGATGAGAGAGGCAAGATAAGGTGGAGAGCAAGGCCACGCAGAGATTTAAAAACTAGTGTCAGGTATTTTAAAAGACAACGGTCGCAAATGGGAAGCCAGTCAAGTTGTCGAAGAGAGGTACAAATTTGAGAATGAAGGGGAAATTTTAAAGAACTTGTACAGAAGCATTGTTTATTTGTTGGAGGGAAGTGAGGGCAGAGGCAGGAAGACCAAGAAGAAGATAATTGTGAGTAGTCCAGGTGGGTAAAGATCAGAGCATGAACTAAGAGTTTGGTGGCAGAAAGTTAAATGAGAGGGCATATTTTCCTAATAAATGAAAGTGGCAGATGCGAGTCAGTGGAAAAATTGTAGGAAAAGTCGAAGGTGACACCAAGATTGAGGGCACATGAAACAGGAGAAAGAAATGAGGGAAGGAGATGGTGGGAATGGGTAGAGTAGAGTGCGAGGCCGAAAAAAAATTTATTGACGTTTTCTAAGGATTGATAGAGAAAAAGTGAAGCACCATCCAAGAATGGATGGCAGCCAGGCAGGAGGAGATATGAGAGGAAAGGTCAGGAGTAAAAGGGGGAAAGCAGAAGAAGAGTTGGGTGTCGTCAGCAGTGATTGTATGCTGCCAAGGTCATGGCTAATTGAAAAAGACAATCACCTGCAAGAACAGCAGGTGATACAACCTTTAAAAGGAATGTACTTTTAACCAAACTACTTCTTTTGGTGAAATCTAATTAAATTTGCTTTCCATTATTAAGTTAAGCTTTCCAAAAGCACTCGAACCTGCTCGTTTGACTATTTATTTCATAATTTCTTACCAATGAGTAAAAAGAACACACGTAGTTTTTAATTAGTGTGACTTACTGCTATTAAATAACGGATCAAAAACGTGGACATTAACAAAGCTAATGAAACAAAAGCTGGAAGAGTGTGCAAATAAGCATTGAGAGATTAGCGAGCTTCACTTATTCCACTCAGTGAATGTGACCAACAATTGCAACATGAATCCTGAGCAATTGCTTTTGTGGAATTGCTACTGATTATCAAAATAAAACAAACGCATGGAACTAAACTCTCGGTGAACTCGGCATTGAGTGCTTAAACAAATGCTGCTGGGTAATGTTGATCTTGAAGATCGATAGGTCGACAAACTGAACAATGTAACGTTTATGCGATAATACAAAAATGGAATGGTGTTCATGTCTGTGGTCAGTCCTGAATCAGTGATGGAGATTCTGCACAGCTATATTACAAGGTTAAAAGGTAAATTTGTGAGTTACATTTGAACACAGACTTTTCAGGTAATGACAAGTGGAATATGTATAAAGTTACATCTATAAAAAAAAAACTAACCAAAAACATGTCAGCTTGTCTTCATTTTAACACACACACACGTGAAATAGTTGTTAAGTCCGGAGCGCACCTGGAATTGTTACACTCCTCACACATGTAAAACATTTCACACCGACCTCGAGAATTGCTACAGTAAATCCTGCCGGCAGCTACACACGAGATCTGCTGTCAGGGCTCTGAAGTGAAGGAAGGCATGCATGCGAGACTCGCACACAAAAACATGTGCTCTACCTACTTATCCGGGAAACCACACACTGAGTCGTAGGACTCTTTTTCAGGAGGGGCTTGCATTGGGCTTTTATTTTTTTAAAGAAGTTTTCAGCAAATTACTGAGTGTTGAAAGTGGGAGTAAACCGGAGCACCCAGAGAAGACCCATGCTTGCGACAGGTCAAAACTCGATCTCCCGTACAGATGGAATCAGATGACAATTAGTTCTCTTGCTGTACTGACTTCTCCTGGCAGACCAGGGTATGACACCTCGACACCAACGGGAAGGCAGTTTCACAACATTCGTGCGATCCACCAACCGTTGCCTCGACATCACCACCTGTACGTGTGATCATTTTATTCTGACACGGAAGCCACAGCGGCTGCAGCCTAACTCACTTATGAATAATAGAGTTTAATAATAAAAAAATACATGTAAAACAATACATTTGCAGTGCCCATTGCTGCATGAGCACATTTGGTTATAAATGCTTCCAGATCAGTAACAGAGCAAGGTCGCAATTAAACCCAACGTGCGTTATAATGTAGCCTCGTGTGTCCTTTGCATGTGTACATGATACAAACGTTGCATGTGCTGGGAACAGATTGTAGACTTCAACTGCATATTGATCCAAATGTGCCCTATGCACTGTACACATTCCAAGCATTCCTGCAAGCTTTCAAACCTCTGCTCTGTTTCCTTCGCTCTCCGCACTCCCTCTCTCCTGTCCACATCCGACACTCCCACGCGCACGCCTTTCATATCTCTCTGCCTTTCTTGCTGGGCAGTCCAACCCGTTCGTTACTCCCACTCGTACCCTATTTGAGCACATGCCCGCATTGGAATACTCACCCACGGACTGTCCAAATTCATTAGAGCAGCCTGAAACTCTGGGCTTACACATACTTTAGTAAAAATTTGGCAGATGCTTTAATGAAGTGGTATAATTATGTTTGGCGTTTAAGGTATACCAAAGCGTATTTTTTTTCGTAAAATAAAAAATAGATATGCTTTTTACGAAACTTTTTCTTCACAAAATAATATAGATTCTAAAAAGCACTTAGATTGGCCTACAGGGTTGGGAAAAATAGCAATTAATTTCAACCACTTACCTTCACTAATTAAAAACACCAGGAGGCATACTTGACGGCACAGGAAGCTCGTAAGACCATGCAGGGGTGCTTGAGGAAGGGTGTATTTGATTGTTTTTACCAGGGGCATGTATACTGTATGCTACATTTTATTTGTACGACGTAGAGCACTTGTAATTCAAATCTTACGTGAAAAAGAGAGACAAATACCCCTCTTCCACCGGCACATCCGAGTTGCGGCAGTGGTAGGGTTCACACGGCACGATGTGGTTGTCCCACTGGCCATCTGCCGAGCTGGGCAGGAACCAAACCGTGATACGCTGGCCTCACTCGAAGACATCTGCATCTGGCTTGGGATCAAGCAGGGCTGGAGGTGTAGTTCACGACGTGCTCATCGCATGTGACATAAGTCGGCACAACACTGTCGGGACACAGCGCCACCGCACCATCGACATGCTATGAACTCTAAGAATATCGCGACTTGGCTCCTCCCGCACTGGGGCTGGGTTGGCACGGCCCTGGAGCGGCTTCTTGGTTGTGTAGTTGGAAAAGAAGTGCAGGTCTCAATGGGCTCTCACTTGGTACTAAATAAAGTTATTGAATGACTGATTGAGGCACGGGTAGAAAGTGAATGCAGGATGTGAAAGGAAGGAGCTTGTCTGATCTGTCCCAGGTCACTCACCGGCACTTGCGCCGAGTCCATGAACTGCAGGCCGAAGTAGTCGGTCTCTTCCACATCCAGGTGGTACATGATCTGGTCGAACAACTCTTGACCCTTTGCCTTTTTCTGAACAGAATGTGAGCACACACACACACATAATCAATGCATTATCTGTATAAATGATTATCAAGAATGTTGATATTCAGCATGATCAACCATGACCTGACAGCCAAAGGAGGGAACACGCTTGAGAGGACATTCACCATGGTAGAGATGAAACGAGACCAGCTCGAGCTAGATGGAGTGTTAAATCAGGGGATTATATGGGGTGGCAATTACCTGCAGAGTCCTTCATCAGAATTGTCAGACAGTGATGAATTAGTATGCCATGTGCTAATAAAGGCGAAGTGTCTCCATGCACAATGGACCAAAGAGCAAGTTTCTTTGGTGGTGCTGAGCCTCTCATGTGGAGATTAATATGCCTGTAGGGGCGGGTAATATACACTGGCATGGTGTAATGTGCTAAAAACTAGATGTGAAACGATGCATTGAGTGATCAAATCAATATCCATCCTTAGTTCGTGATACAAGCACTGAATCACGTGGTAAAATAAGAAATTAGATTTTCCATGAGGATGATACTTGAAAACAAACCTTCCAGCAGTAAGTCGACAACGGCCTCTAAACAATCTAGTTATCATTCTAATACAGTGTAAAACATAAACACTGCATACATATACTCTCTAAGAGTCGTTAAAAATTCGATGCTAAAAATAAAAGCATTTTAACATGTAACATTTAACACATTTACTACCTGTATTGTGGCATTTGTTCCATCCTTACAATTTCGTTACCATAATATTTCCACATTACAGCCTAATTACTCTGCATTAGAGGATTATTTCAATACCATAATAATGGCAGGAAACATACACATGCACCACAATAAGAGATTTGGAAATCACCTGCGTTGAACTATGGATTATAATCATGGACATTGACAAATAAGATGGAACAAAATCTGAAAAGTACAGAAAGGATAAAAACGCGATCTATTTAGAGTCACGCTGAGAGAGAGAACAAAAGAAGAAACGCCGGGATCAGAGAACATTCGCAAGTTAGAGACGTCACGGTGACTGTTCGCAAAAGCAAATGAGCTTGGGCAGAACACGTCGCGAGCAGAGTAATGGCCAGTGGTTGAGACTGATGGAGGAAGTGAAATTAAATGAGCTCATATGCAGGAGCTGGATGGATTGGACTGATAGATGGCAAGAGATGGGGGGAGGTAGGCTTCATCCAACAGTGGATTGATGACGGCTGCAACTGACGATAATGAATTACCGTAGAATATTACCATCATTTTTTTATCTGACCGAACTCTATTCGCATTATTGAACACTATAATGCACTCCTGAGAAAAATTGACTGCTTTCATTTTGCAGCCGGTTTGCAAGGGATGATTACACGGTTTTAACACACGACACCTAGCGAAGACAACTTCACACGTTCAAATGCTTTCTGAGAACACAGATTCATGTTTCTGCTTACTGTGATACGATATACACAATGATGCATACTAATTGAGAGTGCATGAGTAAAATTTGTATCCGTATCATCCTTCAACGGCACACTTACTAAAGAGTGAAAATTGGCCAAGGTCCTGCAATGCTTGGTAAGGAACCCTAAAGAGTACAGGATGATGTTTACTAATTACGTCAGGCACTTGTCTGTCAGCTTACCTCCGACTAATAACAATGGCCTTCATTGACCACGCAAAGTCTGACGGAATGTGAAGACAATTTTCATCAGGGTCCTGCGTTGAGATGTTTGGCTAACTTACGAAAGAGCGTGAAGAAAAATCCATGCACGTGTTCGCAGAAAACATTCAAAGCCCCGCACAGATTGATTTAATAATGTATATTGGTACACTGTCATCATGTGTCCACCTCACAACCCAAGCCTAATTACAAGCACCAACCAAGCCCAACTCTGCATACCTGCCAAGTTCGGCACATAGATGTTAAGAACCAATTTCTAATCAGTTTACGTACAGTATATATATTAAACCCCCCATGAAACAACACGTGCATAAACTTACGCTTGTAACTTCCATTCGACTAAAACACGTCCATACACAAAGGACAATTACTAATGAAAGAGGAGCATTATGCACATAACCCGACTGTTATGCAAATGCACTCAATTGTTAACAATTGGGGGGGTTATTTATTACGCGTCTTGTGTGTTCACAATGAGGCCAGGGCCTCCAGGCACGACGACCAGAGCTTGCGAGCTCACAACATCTGAGCAATAGGTCGTCGTTAATGAATGAGCCGGAACGCGTCACTTCACGTGGACTTTACTTTCCTCTCGACGGTGCACAACTGCAGCAAATTGCAGCAAGTTCACGTGAATGCTTGCTGAAATATTTAATAGTGCTGAGCTTTCAACAACGTTGTTCATGCGACTTGCATCTAAAAATTGCTCGGGAACCACAGACAAGACGGACATCAGCCAGGCAATGAGCCGGCGCACAACAATTGGCCAAGTTCTGCGAGCCACTGCATGTTAAGATATTTCCAGCCAATGAATGAGCTAGTTTAACACGTAGGCTTTCGCGACCAATGTTATTCATAATCAACGTTTTTGGGTTTAGATCGCGTTTATTTATAAATGTGTCGTAACCCTCCACCACCCGACACGGCCAATCAGTAAAAATGTGTCACGTTGACAAAGACAAATAGTTCACTGCTTTAGCCCACCGGTGTGTTGAAGCCACAACATTTACAATTCAACACACCGGTGGGCTAAAGCAGTGAACTATTTGTCTTTGTCAACGTGACACATTTTTACTGATTGGCCGTGTCGGGTGGTGGAGGGTTACGACACATTTATAAATAAACGCGATCTAAACCCAAAAACGTTGATTATGAATGAATGAGTTGTTTACACGCCACGTGTGAAATTAAGCGTGAATATATTGACAGCCAATGAATGAGTTGTTTACACGCCACGTGTGAAATTAAGGCGATGCCACTTTAGTTGTAACCTACAAATGCAAGCGGTCATAATGTATGTATGTGTGTGAAATGTATATGTTTAACTTCTTTCACGCCGTACGTAGCCAACCGTGCTAATCTAAGGGTGCTGGAAATGGCATCGTGGCCACTCTTTGTGTAAGGCCGCAGTCGGTGACGAGAGCTCAAACTCCCACTCAAGCATTTCTAACCATCGTGATGCATAAATTGCAGTAACATCGATGGATCAATTGCAGTAACATCGATTCCTAAGTTCTCACAACGCACCCCTCTAATCACCTCTGTAACAATCACGTGACCTCTGTAACAATCACGTGACCTCTGTAGCCACGAGTGGCCGATACGTTCACCGCTATGCAAATACGTGTTTCGAAGAATCATAAACGGGTGTTATTGAATGATCACTGTCTGTGAATTCACGACAGCCACGAATTTACGTATAAGCATGGATCGAGTTTTTGAAAAGCACCAACTCCCCCTTCAAACGGTTGGAATAAGGACTCCCTCTGCACAACCTGCTTAAGCCGGTCATTCCTGTTCAATCCAACAGTGTGCAACGGTGCGTGCCTTGAACAATAAACAATTACGTCAGGAATTCGGGCCAAAGGCTACTTGGGTTTTTAGGTCTCACAAAGGGCTGCTTTATTTCCAACTTGGTTGGTTGGTTGGTGCACTGGTCCACAACATCCTCCGAGGAGTTACAATAAACAAGCATTCACAGCAAATGGCCTCATTGTGTGTGCGGCACCACTTCATTTACACCCACATGTTGAGGACACATTAAAAGACCGAGATGCCCTCAGCCAACAGCCTTTATCGTGACAATCAAAACCCAATGGACGATCGGCAACACAGCCATCGTGGCCTGTCAACTGATCAGTCATTTCCAATGGTTCAACCACATATTCCGATAGTCCCGTATGCTTCCAATGGCCTGGATGACTCGCTATGGACATGGCCTCATTCAACAGCTGAACCTTAAGTTGACAGCTTTGGAAGCCTTCCAGGTAAACAACAATGGCTGTGGACCACTTTGCAAAACATTTCTCAGTGGCTTAACAAAAAACCGCTGCTACAATGAATTGCCATTTTATATACATTCATCTACAATACACAATAACAAAAAGGTGCATTATTTTTGCACAACCCAGCAAATGAACCATGAATATTACGTTAAACGTTCCAGATCTGGAACGTTTGCCAAACAGTATGAATTCCTTTATTATAGCTTCATTCGCACGAAACTTGCCTGAACCAGCCTAGCAGATTAGAATAGCACAACAAAGCACATTGCAGAGTTCTCGGATTCCCTGATAGGTGACTACAGCTGGATGAACCAGAATGCTCACATTGCTTTGTAGAATAAACACAAGTGTCAAGAGTTTCAAAAAACGGATGGACCCATATAAACATGTATGGTTAAGAATGGGTGCTCATCAAAGTTGAATGTTATAACCAGTGACTCATTGAAGACATGCAGAACGTGTCTGACTCTTAATTGGTTCCCTGTGTCGAAATACTGAAATTAATGTACTTTAATATGCTTCTGAGGTAAAATGAAATGCTAAATACTGTATAAGTATAAATACAGCATTGCGAAGTTGTGGATATTTCGTTTTATGTATGTATATATGTACAGCGTGTATAGGAATGAATATTTAAATGCTTTGATAATATGTACGTATATCCAATTTTCCTATGATAGATCACTAGGCAAGGTGCCCGATCTCGTCAGATGTCAAAATATGGAAAGTACTTGGATGAGCGAACACCACGTACATATAAAATAGGTGTCAAATAGGCTGCTTCGGGCTAATTTGTGAGCAGTACAGAAAACAAACATGCTTGTACCGCACCATTCTCATGTATCTATGCTCCCCACTTTGACCAGCTGACACTGACCAGTCTGGTGAAGAAAGGTCAAACAACTCCCCACAACGATGAGGCCCTCATCCAGCAGTGGATTGACATTCACATGTACTGCATCAACAACAGGTGTAGTCATAGACAAATAGTGCTGGACAGCAAACATACAATCTCAGGGAATGGGCCTGTGGATCGGACTCCACTGCACGCGCCACGAGGCAT